CCAGGTGATCTCCAACTCTGGAGTGCACTCAGGTATGGTCGAGGGTCACTGCCCATGCTTGACCATTTCATCTTTGCAACATCACAAACAGGCTTTTAGAGATTCTTTTGTGTGTGTGTGTGTGTGTGTGTGTGTGTGTGTGGTTACGCTGATGATGCACCGCCATCCAATCTTACAGCAAGGGGAGGGCATAGCTCACTCCTGGTAGAAGGCCGTATCGGGGAAAAGTAATCCCTTCTCTGGTATAGACTGATTTATTGTCCGGCACAGCTTTCATAATGGGAAAGAAAAACGTAGCTTATGGAGCGGAGATGAAGAAAAATAAGTTTAAACGGCATTACTTAGTTGCAGCTTCTGCACAACAAGACATTGATCAAATTCTGTAAGTATAGCATTAATCACGTACTATGACACAGGTGTTATTATTCCAAATTAAAGCTGGATCAGAGGAGTTGCCCTTAAATCAATGATGACAACTCCAAGCTGCTCTAAGTTGTAGAACATTATGTAAAACCTACATCAATGTGCGCTACAACCGAATAACACAATATTACAAGTTTTTAAAGTGAAACAAAGGTTTTCTGTTTTGTTGTGAGCCCCGGCATTGTGTGAATTTCACTGTCTCCCTGCCCTTCAAACTGTACTGCTACAGTATACTAATAAAGAATGTGTTTGGTTTATCATTCAGGTGCAATCATCCCTTCTGTCGACTATACAGCGAAACCCTCTGACACTCACTGCATTGTTAGTCCTCTAGGCATGAGCACAAGTGTTTCCTGTCGATCATGGCTGCGTAAAGATGCTGACCTGTGGCGTACACACAAACACACACACACACCAAAACAAATCATTCACCCGCTTCAACAACACAACCTCTAGGTGAGGCCAGAAAACAACAAGTCAGCTGAAGCCGGGCGCAGAGCTGCTCTTCCAGACAGCTGCTCACAAACCTGCGCTAGCTTTGCCTCAAGAGTTGGGCAGATATGTGAATACATACATATCTACAGAAACAACAGTGAAATGCACACACAAGTACAAACATATAAAATAACACACTAAAACACACACTATATATAGACACAGACAAAAACACACATAAATCTATCAAAGGCTGCAACTAAAAGTAATTTTCGTGATTGATTAATCTGTATTTTCATAAGGAAGCCATTATTTGTTTATTCCAGAGATTTTCAAACTGGGAGAGTTGAAGGGGAGGTGTGGAGGGAGAGATGTGAGTCAAACATACTGCGTGAGATGAAAGAGAAGGATGGTAGGAGTTTGGCCCACAATTTGCATTAAAAAAAAAAAATCTACTTGTCTTGGAATCATTAATCATATAAATCTGAACACCCAAGCACAAAACACATATTTTAGATTCAGTGTGACCAACACTTTGCAAGGATACCATTATGTCAATCCATAAAAATCAACACATTCTCACTTCCAACTCATCAAATACCAACGCTTGGTCAGTGGCCCTGCACGCCAAACTATGACGCTCTAGGTAACTCTCCTGTGTCAGTTTTAGATGTTGAGGGATGACGTGCCAATTTACACTCTTTACATGCACTGTGTCTTTTTAAAATAAACTGTTGTTGTCACAGGAAATGCGCAGTTTCTGCCCGTAAAATGCATTCAGTCTCTTTCAAAATAAACTTAGAACGTAGGTAAAAAAAAAAAAAAAACAAACACTGCTTTTCGGCTAACTTCCGGAGGTGTAGGCAACAAAAGCACATGGCTTGGTTCAGAAAAAAAGTAATGTAACGTAAAGTAACGTCATGTAACATATCTCACTAGTGTAGTATGCTACACATACTAGCTCACTATGTTTTGATTACTTTTGGGTTCACACACGACACAAACAGCAGTGTCTAGGGTCAAAGTCCTGAGTTTGTTTGACCCATCGATCGCCGACCTCCCTATGCAGACTTTGTTGCTCAGCAGTTGCTTGGAGCCACAAAAAATGCCATCACCCGGTGCGTCTCATACACATATGCCACTAAAGGATGCCTCTGTGCATCACTATCTGCAGCAGAGGGCCACTGACCTGCCATCTGAGTTGTGAGTGAGACCGGGTTTTAAAAACGCAAATAAAACATCCATAAACTCAATCAAAAAATCATAGAAAAAAAGATGCTTCTTATAACTCCATAATGCGCCTGAGAATCATCATGTTTTCAAGTTATCGTCAGTCTCAAAATAATGCAGTAATAGTTGTCTCTACATCCATAGGTATGCTGCCAACAGGAAGTGCCAATATCTAATTCTGCATACTTTTCATGCTGCCAATTAGCCAAAGATTCACATCTGAACAGCTGGAACCATCATATGTTGACATTTTTCCATAGTAAATGACTTAAACAATCAATCGACATTAAAAAATGATTGTCAATTAAATGCCTGACGGTTCCAGCGTTAGATCTACCCAACAACTGGAGCACAAACACCGACGGCACCTGAAGCCTCCTCACAGCAGCATCTGTGGTGGTGCCAGAAAATAACAGATGCCACCAAAGCAAATGTTGGAAGTGCAGCGCTCAGCTAATGACTGGATCTGCAGGCCGTTTTCCAGGTGACTTATGTTACTGCTCCGCTGCTGTGAGACGAGGATGAGTGAAGCTGTATTGATCTGCTGTTTTGCAACCCAATCGATGCCACCGCACGGATCTTAGCTTTGTTTTCAGGTCAAGCTGAAACACGTGATCTTACGGACCAAATTCAATTAATAATAAATGATGGCATTACTCTGAGATAAATATCCCGCCAGAGACTTACACTCACCTCGCTGCTGTACCTCACAAGTTTATTCAATTACAAGATAATTGAACATCAGTGAAGCCAAGGTGTAACAGTGTGATTGGAATTCATTACAAAGAGAAACGTGACGGAGCGAGTTTGCCGTGCCTGAAAAGTTTCTTTGAATAGGACCGAGTTATTGAATAAATGAGATATGCCCACACAGCGTTGAGTAATTTTTGCACATGGTGACAAAACAGAATAGACAGCAGCACAGGAACATCACAAGCCATTGTCTTCCTGAGAAAACCCACAGCTGCACTCTTCCTATCCTCTCCCCAGAAACAACTACCAAAAACACTTCCTCTCTTGTCTTCCTCTACTTGTTTATTTTCTCCTGTCCTTCTCTTCGTCAAAAGCCTCCTAACTCCCCGGCTCTTGAATTTGCTCTAATTTAGAAATACACAGTCGAAGGAAGAAAAAAAAAACTTCCTCTCTCCACACCCTTTCCATGAACAAAAGGCATGAAAAGAAGAATGATGTCAGTTATAAATATTCTCCCAAAATAAGCACATAAACATACTGGCCTATTCAGCAGAAGAATGCAACACCAGACTCACAAAAAACACTATAGGAGGAAGACAGATATACCCAGGAGGTGCTCATTTATCTCACTGTTACGCTCCGATACAGAAATCTGCCGTTAATTACATTCTGTAGGGTAGGAGAAAGGTGATCCGAAAATATTTCATACTTTATTTCACACATCAAAGATTGTGGCCTCGATATAGTGTGTGTGTGCACTGGATGTGAGTGATGACACGGGCTTTCAGAGTCTAAATAAAAGTCTGCTGTTAATTGGATTTGACTGAAAAATGAGCCACGCTGCACTTAATTAATGGCACTGAGTGGTGGGGACATAATGAGGGGCCAAAATCCCATTTAGGTTAGGTACACAAGGATTAGAGATAAAGCTTTTAAAAAACTCATGAGGCATTATTATTCTAATATGTGCTCATTTTAACCATTATTCCAACCGCTGCTTTTTCTAAACAGTTTATGTAAGAGCAGGAAGTGTGCTGGACTTGAATAATAAGCCAAACGGACTGATAATCTGTAACTGTAAGTATGAATTCTGTTCAAAGAAGGTGGGCCGGCTCTGTTAACGAGATTCACCACCGTAGTTAATTCATCTATATGGTAATGGTTTATGACGTCAGGCAATAGTAGGCAATGTGCAGCGTCAGCGTTAGCCGAGGCAGCCGTGTGACTTTCAGCTAACGACAGAAGGCCGAGGCACTTCATTACGAGGCTGCACTGTCGCTCTGCTGCTGGCTAAGACGGCAGCTTAAAGTAATAGGAGTGAGTGTGTAATGGCAGCATTTGTAGTGTGCTCACACACAGTCCATCGCCCCCACATACCACAACAACCAGTGCCTCCCATCAAAAAAGAAACAGGAAGAAATTTAGTTCCTCAACCTTGCCCCTCTGCACCGAGGCTCAGCCTCTTAAACGTCACGGCTGATTAATAGTGCACGGGAAGAAAAGAGAGGACGGGAGGGAGAAAGGTGAGAGAACTTAAGAGCAATTAAAAGGAAAAAAAAGCTTAGCAGTGAGGAACGAGGAGATGAATGTATGAGAAAACGATGGAATGTGCTGATATGATAATGGCCTCTCACAGGCCCCTGTGGCAAATAAATTTGCTCTGTGTAACTTGGTCCTGGGACGGAGAGAGAATTATGTGTTCTTTTATCTTATCACAGTAAACAATCTTCCTCCCTCCTTCATACAGAGCGTGAACAGAAACACGTCTAAATGGTCACACGCCCCTGACACAAAATCCTACTCAACAAATCCTTTAATTGCCTGATCAATGCCTGTAGAGCCATGCAAATTAAGCCGATAGTCGATAGGGGCTGGGTCGGGGTTGAACGTCCACGCGCTGACGCATGCCACTGATCAAAGTGCACACTGTGCTAAAAACCCGGGATTAAACCATTCATCTGTAGTCTCCACCTTGAACCATTATCCTGACCCTCAAGCAAACCTGGTGTGAGATACAAAGCGAAAAAGGCCTTTAGAAGTTTCAGACCATCCATCACTGAGCTGCAGGAGAGGCGCACGCTAAGGGAAGCTGCAGACGCACAAACACACACACAGGTGAGATAAGACGGGGTGTTTCGGCGGTTCCCTTCAGGGACAAGGCGAGAAAACCAAGAACAGCTCGAGTTGTAGAGATGCCTCATGCATCAATATTGTCTTACCTTGTGTTTTGCCAGCCAAAGTCTCATCCCGGCGTCTCAGAAGTAGCATGATGGTGCGGCCTGGGACTCCTCTCTCCCTCTCATAGCCTCAGACTGAGGGAGGCTGAACTACAATCAAAAACAAGAGACAAGACAACATGATTATTGATTGGGAGCTGCTATTGTTTCTTAAAGGAACAGTTCATCCCAAAATCTAAAATACATTTTTTTTAACCTGTGGTGCTATTTATCAGTCTAGACTGTTTCGGTGTGAGTTGCTGAGTGTTGGAGATATGTGTATGTGTATGCTGCACAGATGTCTGCCTTCTCTCCAATATAATGGAACTAGATGGTACTTTGCTTGTGGTGCTCAAAACGCCAAAAGAATATTTGTTAAAAACTCAACAGCAATGTCTCTTTCCAGAAATACCAACCTGGTAACTCAAGATAATCCACAGACCTTTCATGTAGGGACTGTTTTCTTTCTACTGAACTATACCTGCCAACCGTATCACCATACAGAAGGAAGCATGCAAGAATGTCATCTGAGCTGTAACGTTAGCTAGCTCAGTGGTGAGCTTGCAGTAGATCAGCTCCTCCAGACAATTGACACAAACTCAGCCAATTAATGTGAATTCTGCACAACCTTGCAATTTCATCCAGTCATCGCAACTTTACCACAAACTTGACTATTTAAAACAGATAAAATCTCATTTCACTGTAGAGCTGTTCGCAGCGTATTGATTCGTTCAGCTCCTTCTTGTCCTGCTCTTGCTCTCTATCTCTGTTTATGAGACTACTGCTGCAGAAGTGTGAGCTTCGTGCCTGGGACAAAGTTAGCCACGCAGTGACAGGGCTAACTGTTAGCAGCACACAGCGAACTTTGCCTAACAGTTATTAACAGATTAAATGACAGAGTAGGACTGTTTCAGTGTTGGTATAACTTTGTTGGGACCGTTTAACCGCTCAATGTTGGATGTTAACTGCTGCTGCTGTGTTTGCTCGTGCTAAGCACAGAGAGCAGGAGGAGAGCAGCTCACGAAGACGGTCCTTTTGCGCTGCACTGACATCAGCAACAGGCGATCATCTGTTGCTGCCACCGCAACACCATCATTACAAATAGATTTTAATTCTGTGGGAAATGTTCATAATAACGGGCTCCAAATCCGAGACAGCATCACAACTATTTTTGCTCATAATTTCTATGCAATACAACCCTATAAACCTGTGGTTCCCAACTGGTGGGTCGCAGTTCAAAAGTGGGTCGCAGGTCCATTCTGACCCGACCGCAAGTGACTCGCTAATGAGTCCAGTTTGTAAAAAAACAACAGACAGACAGCTACTTTACAGAGACAGCAAACTAGCTCGACGACATGGCCAAACGCAAGTGTGACGCTGAATAAATTCAACTTTGTGGACTTTGAACTGATGACTAAGGGCAATCTGGACCCTATGACTGGACCAACTGGGAACCACAGCTATAAACAATGCTACATGCTTCACAATATTTTAAAAATGCTGCTGTGAAATCAGGCCTTTCAGGCCACAAAATCCTGGAAGAGCCGGTAGACGCACACTTCCTTCTGTGTGGTGTTACATTTGGCGGATGTAGTTTGGTAGAAAGAAAATAGTTCTGTGGATTATCTTCAGTAACCGGGTCATGATTTCTGGAAAAAGACATTGCTGTTAAGTTTTTAAAAAAAAATTTTTTTGGGCGCTTTGAGCACCACAAGCTGAGTGCCATCTAGTTCCATTACATTGGAGAGAAGGCATCTCTATGGCTGATATCTCCAACACTCAGCAGCTCACACCTAAACAATCTAGACTGATAAATAGCACTACAGGTAAGAGGAAAAATATGTATTTTTGATTTGGGGGTGAACTGTCTCTTAAAAACATTCTTATTTTGAGTTTCTGTTATAACAGTTTGTCTCTCTGACTGTGCAATCAGCGATCACAGGAGATGAAATCAGCATCATTTTAATTTCTGACTGTTAATGCAGAAAAAAAGCACAAATATTATCAAAAAAAATGTTTTAAAAAGGCTCTAAACACAACAAAACAAGTAAAGCGCTCCCTGAAATTTATCATTTCAGGTGTCACTCCACCAGCAGGTTTATTTGCTTTAACCAGCTGCACTTTATAAAATAAATGGGTTTTAGTCTTCATGATTAATGAAATTACACCTCTCTACCAGGACACCTCATTAGCTGTGTGGGGTTTGTTGAAGCAAATACAGATGTTCATGAATAGAGAGGTGAGGTTTTAAAAATGAGGCGACGTTGCAGAGCATTTATCTCCCCTCCACATCATAATCCTCCCAGTGTTGATTGCGAACAAGGCGGCCGGGCGGGGGGGACTCACAGCAGTTTTAGGTAAAATCCTCGACAGGTCAAGAGGGTAAAGCAGCAATTTCGAGGTAATTGTACTCCACAGGAGCAGCTTCACTTCTGTTTTCTCCTTCGCTCCTCCGAAGAGATGTTTGGCGTTGCTTGTTTTTCTGACGTCCGCCAGTCTGTTATTGCAAAGGGAACAGGGAGGACAGAGGGTTAGAGGCAGGTCACAGTGAGTTAGACTCTAATAACGCCATGCTGCGCTCTGGCACGGCATGCAACCTCTGACCTGCTCCCCTTAGAATTAATAAGTGACGATTAAATGAGAGGAATTTCAAATGCGCTGCTCGATCTGAATACGGCTCTTTGTATTACTGTTTACAATCCAAATCCACTGTGAAGGCTATTTCTGCTCTATAAAAACAATGTGTCTCTCTCCTTAATTTGTTTGAATGCATCTCACAACTCCCTTTAGTGAACTGTGTGTGTGCATGTATGTGTGTGTTTGTGCAGGGGATGAAACAGTCTGATTTTAGGAGAATCCAGCCCAGAATGATAAATAATACATCCCCTCCAAATGTACTGTAGTACTAAATTGTCTCTGCCTTCATCCCCCAACAACCGCCCAACTACAGCAGATCAGAAGAATAATAAATAGCTCCTATTAATCCAGATTATACACAACTCATATACCATAAACACACCCCAAATTGAAGGGCAGAGTGTGGGGCCATACTTTAGGTAAATTAATGATTAATTGAAATATGTCGATGAATAATAAACCAGTCTCTGCGGGGTAACAGATTGGACTCTCCATATTTAATAGATTGATGGGCCCTCACACAAACTCACACAACATGGACACACTTGCAGCAACGTGTAATCACAGACGTCACATGTACATGCGACACATGAAACAGAAGGGGCGAATGTACAGTAGATTAAAACATCAAAGGAGGCCTACGCTGCTCAGTCGAAACGCCCATGTTTCAGCTTGTTTCTTAGCTTCCACTAATCCCACAAACAGGGGCCTCGGTGTTGCCTCTCTGTGTACTCCCATCCCTTCTCATGGACAGTGTCTGCGTCGATACAAGTCCTCTTAATCAGCTCCGATGAATTATTGAATAGCCTTTTTATATCAGATCATGACCCATATTCCGCTCGCTTGAAGTGAATATGCTGCCAATAAAAATCGTACTTTTTAAGTCGCCCCACATAGGCTCCCCCGCTTGCACTCTTAATGGCTGAACGGGAGTCAGACACACACTGCTCAAAGTTAGACGGAGCTCAGACTGATCCGCTCGTTTAACAAGATGATGGACGAGGTCATCATGCAGCGGCACACAAATCCGAGTTTTAACTAACTACCACCCTTTACACACTTTAGTCTTCTGATGAACACGCAGCGCTGCTCCAGAACACAGCAATCCCTGGATGGCACAAGAGTGGAAGCTATTTTGAAGATAAGATATCTAATAGAGGGTTATTGCTGGTTTCATTAAGGCAGATGCAGCGCTCAGAGCCAGACACAGGAGCTGTATTGTCGTCTCATTAGGTAGCACGTGGGGAGAAGGAGAGACAGAGAGAGAATCAGTAGGAAGAGGGGATAGGATTATGAATCTCCTTAGCCCCTGCTGTCTCCTCTCCTGGCCTGTTTATCAATGACGACTGCAAACACGGTGCCTATGAAATCTCTTAAGCTCTGTTTGGAGACTTTTGGCAGACTTCTTTTTTCCACGTAAGCTTCTGGCATCAAGCTGTTTTCAAACACTAAAAATTGACAGGAAGTTTGAAATATGGGGCCCCCGGTTACCAAATACAGCTGATTTATTGTTCAATAAAAATTTGGTAGCCATATTTACACAAACATTATTCATTTAGGATTAGGGTACACTTTTAAACTAAAGAACAAACTGTGTAAAACACCGACTACGATGTGACTTTTGGCAGGAACGTTAATTTAGCAAAATATAACGCCACTGGAAGAAAGCTGAAAAATACATTCTCGTCTTTGTGACAAGAGGGCTCATGATCCCAAATAAAACCCAGACCTTGACAAAAAGCCACGGGTCCCACCAACAAATCCCCCTTACATTTGCATGGCAGTGATGCGCAACCATCTTCCAAACTATTCATTCGGATGGAAATTGCTCACTCTACCACCAAGTTATGCTCCAAAGGATCGGTTCAAACTTAATCCTTTGCATAACAATAATCAGATCGGCTGAGCTCAACTACAATTTTCCCGCTAAGTGGGACATAACGCTCACATCACCGCCCATTTTGCTCCTGCCTCCCTCTTCCACATTGTCCAGGAACATTACAGCGAAAGCGAGTTTCACCTGTTCATAAAAACCCTATTCTTATGATCATTACAGTAAAAAAGGCGACAGCGAGCCACATGTCAAAGGCTGAGTTTGCACCCGACACGTCCATTTTGCAGCGTGGCAGCTGTGACAGCTTTGACACACTACCTGGGCTTAAGTGCCCATCTGTAGATAGGCTACGGGGGTCACATGTGTGCCAAGAGCATGGAGCAGAATGGGTAATGGTCCCGGGTTATGAGAGCAGGTCCCAGATGGGTTCCACTGGTATGCAGCCCTAACCTTGACTGTGCAGCGTGCACACACACATGCTGTGTAAATCCAAACTGCTGTCAGCCAAATGATGGGAAAGTTAATCAGAGAAAAGGGGTCAATCGTCAATGCACCTATGATGGATAGATGGAAAAAGTGTCTGCATGTGTGTGTGTGTGAGAGAGAGAAAGAGACAGAGTGGGTGTGAATTGCATTTTGCTGCAGACTCAAGATTTCATTCCAACACACTCCACTAGGTGATGTACTGTACTGTCATTCTCCCGCTGTGGAGCACTTTGTGTTTCTTTGAAATAACAGCAGATAAAAATAATTGCGTTGAGAAAAGGGCAAAGTAGTCTATCTCTCCATGTAGATTACTTTATTGATCTGCCTTTATATTCCTCTCGTGCAAACACACACACGCTCCTCGGCTTTAAATAAGAGTGCAGAGCAGCACTGAGCAGATTATTTGATAGGCAGAAGTGGCCACTCCATCAGCTGGAGTGTGGCTAATAAGTACAAAACCAAGTGCGGAGTATGGAGATTGATTTTGACATGTTAAGTACATTCTTACATGATCAGATCTGAGTGTGCACATGTGGTTTTATTTCACCTGAATCTGAGGACAATCAAAGGCTCATAGGGAGAAAACTACAAAGGATAAATGAAGTGTGAGGGGAAATTACTGATCTCTGATAATCCGCCAATAAATCCATTTAAATTCTACCTAACCCTCATACAGTACACACGCGTATGCACACCCACACACACACACATGCAAAAAAATATTAAAATGAGTATCTACATCCATTAATCATCATCCGAAACATGCAACAGCAATAGCATGTGTGGATTCAAAGCACCGTACTCACCTATTTAACCCTTAACATTAAGAATTATTAAACCTAATGGATTTTGTAGGCTGGAGAAATGGCAAGAATCATGGCTATTACATCGACTAATAGACAAAGATGTTGCTTGAGTCTTTAATCCGCGTTAGTGAAATCCCATTAAGATTCAATAGTTGAAAAAGAAATATTGAAATCAGCTTCAGTCCATTACAAAAAAAAGTTAAAAAAAAAAAAGAGTCCAGAATTTAGGACAGTTTTAATAATTGTTAATTTTTTTTTTTCATTTGGAATCAAATCCAGGATTTAAAGGGTAATTCCACAGGAAAACAGCTATATCCAGAGTGCCTTTATCATGGTGACGGCTGCTCAAGAGTCCCACTTCCCATAATCTTCATGTAATGTAGAGGAGAGGCGTTAAATCTCCTTCAGGAAAAAAGTGGAAATATAACAAAAAAAGGAGATGGACAAGGAAATGAGTTGTGTGGTTTGCTTCACTTTGCTATGCATCTGTCTATTGCTGTGCCTCCCTGTAGCTCACACACACCACACACAGGCACACACACACACACACACCAAATTATTCAGTTACTTTGCAGTCGGCTTAATTCTTTCGAGCCATCCTATCTTCTGTTTTTTCCAAAATGCAAAACGATTATTCATGAATAATCTGCCCCTTGTGTTTCAATAAAATGGAAGTAACCGAGGTGATGAATTGCAAAAATTACGTCACCAAAATGCAAAATAAACAGCGACTCCTCTCTGATGCAAGCAAGTCAATGACGTGTGAGTGGTAGGACATGACACTTTTTGGACGGCGAATGAAAAGACAAAATGGAACAACAAATAAATCAATGAGTGGATCAAATCAGAGGGGGCGGGAGGGTGGAAATGATGGAGAAAAAGAGATGCACGAGGGGGAGAAAAAGGTGATTAAAGAGATTAAAGCTTGAAGCAAAGTGAGTGGAAAAAAAGTGAAAATTATGGTGGAGGAAAAAAAGAGGGGGAAAAAATTCCTCTGGATGATAAAAGCCAGTATTTTCCTAGTCCATTCTCTTTGAGTGCTTGTGTGTGTCTGTCTGCGAGAATGAGAGTCAGTTCAGAAAGATAGGGGACAGAGAGAGAGGGAGACGAGAGAGAGAGAGGAAAAGAGGGCAGAGGAAAAAGGAGGCAGAGGAGTGCATAAACACAGATGACACCCCGACAGAACGGACGAGCGCTGGCTTACAAATGCGCTTTGCAACAACAGCGCATTGTCGCTCATGAATTAGGCCTTCGCTCAGTTTGACCTTCACCTGATAAACATGAGGCGAGGAAACTTAGACGCGCCTCGGCTTGACAACACTTCTACGCGATGAAAGTGGAATTCGGATTCTCAATGTGCATGGAGGCAAACAGAAAAAGGACATGTGAGGGCGTGTGATAAAGGGGCGTTTCAGACGTTTTTTAATGGAAGGACAGACTTTTTGTGCAACAACACAGAGACGATGCAGTCAAAAAATGTGGTTTCCGTGATGACAGCTGGAGAAGGTGCTTGCTTGATGAGTCACTGTGGTTTTGGTTTGAGGAGAACACAAGAAAAAAGTAAGATAACACAGATTATAGTATGCAAGGGGAGAGTGAGGTGAGGATGACATGGCATGAGGCAACAATCAGCTGAGAGCCGGATGGGAGGGGAGACATGGTATACCAATGTTAGATTGTAGGCCAATGTATGTGTGTGTGTGTGTGTGTGTGTGTATGTATGTGTGATGTATGTGCACCCCACACAAAACACCTTGCATACACAGAAAAGGAACAAAGACTTTGAGACAGACACTAAACACTAAATAGACCTACCTATGGTTAGAATTAAGAATCGCCCAAAAAAGATGCATAGGATGGTAGGAGGAAAAAAGAGAAGGGGGGTAGGAAATAGGAAAAGGTACAAAAGTGAAAAAGGCATAAATAGAAAATACAAGCAAGCCAATTAAAATGTCTCTATGAGAGGTTTTTAAAGTAAGGAAATTAAAACACTGGTGGAGTCAAAAAAGTAGCCAAAGTTACGGGTGGACAGTGAGTGGAGTGGTGGGGGGAGGAGGGGGAGGAGGAGGAGGAGGAGGGAGGCGGTGAAGGGAGGAGGGAGCGTGGGCTGCACAGGGATAGAAAAGGCTGGAAGTGATAGCAATGGAGAGGGAAGCAAGAATGAATGAAGGGGGACAAAAAAAAGAGAATAAAAGGGGGCAAAAAAAAATCCCCCTCCTCTTTCTCTTTCTCTTTTTCTCTGTCTCTCTGCCTCTCTCTGTCCCTCCTTGTCTGGCTCATAAATAGAAGAAATTGTTGACCAGGTAAATGGCGAAATAGATGAGAAGACAGAGGACCGAGAGAGCAAGCAAATGAAAAGGTAAAGCACCTCCCAGCAGCGCGATGAGGAAAAAAAAGAACAAAAAACGAAAGATAAAAGCAAATACTCCAGTGGCCTCCGTTGTCTCCAGTCTATGTGTGGAAGGGGGGATTGGCTGTTGCCAGTTGTTCCCCTTCCCCGGCTGCCTTCTGCTTTCTTCTGTCTCTCCTCCCAAAAAAGACTTCCCATCCAGATGACAAAAAAAGCAGGCACAGATGTCCTTTCTCTCAACTCTGGTCTAATATCTGGTGCCACTCACACAGGTTAGACATTGTTGCAGCAGCAACGCACAGCACAGTATCACCAGTATTGCTCAGTGGGAGGAAAAAAAAGGCATTGGGGCTGCTGCTAGTCAAGCACTGCCTGCCTCATGAGGAAGGATACTGAGCTGGAATTGCTCTGTCTCCCCTCTCCCGCCCATCCCTGCGAAAAAGATGGGAGGAAGGGAGGTGGGCCCACTCGCTGCATTAGTATTCATTGAAAGAGTGTGAGAGAGATAGAGAGAGAGAGAGAGAGAGAGAAAGAGAGAGAGAGGAGGAGAAGAGGAGGAGGGGGAGAGGGGTGCCTACCAACAAATGTCGAGGAACCAAACCGGTGTGTGAAACTGATAAGAGACTGGCTCCCCCTAGAGTCAATCATCAATACACAGGCTCAAATAACTGGAAACACTGGGAATGTAGTGTTGAGACAACCAGTGTGGTGACCTGTGACCTGAATCAAGTGTGAACACCTCACGTTTCAGCCTCTTAGGTCAAATTCACAGCCTCAGTTCTGCAGTGTAACGCCACCTGCGCCGTATTATCATTATAATCCACTTACAGACTAATTCAATGTTCAATATAATAAGTGAAATGTAAAGAGCTTTGTCTCTGCGTGACGAAGCACCGGCACCTTTCACACCACACACACCGACTCCCTGAAAATCAAACAAAGCATTAAAAGAATTTCGCTTCACGTCTGCGAAAAACAGACTGATCCTTTCCTCTGCATTTTGCCCTCAGCTAAACTCAGTGTTGCTATGGTGACAGATGACCGCTCTCAAGTGTCCAAATCAAAAGCTAGTAGCACACAAAGATATGTGCTCAAAAGCACCCTTCACAAAGGTAAAGACTGCACTGTATCTCTGCAATAGTCGAAATATTCTACCTTGTTTCTACCATCAGGAACACCGTGGACCAAATGACACTGCACTGTGTACACTAGGACTAGTAGAGGCTTACATTCACAAGAGAGTGAGGTAACTCTTTTGTTTTATTCTCTTCAGGGAGTGAGTTGTTTTCAAGTTATTCCCACAGCCACGACAACAGTGCATGTGTAGTTTGGCTCCATTCTATGTTTGAGTTGTTATTTATAGTAAAGGGAGGGAAGAAACAGAGAGATGCTGACAGATCCTGAAAGAAAATACGATTACAAATCTCCACAGTCCCCTCTGTCTTCTCTGCTGACCCGTTTATCAGGTGGTAATTACTTAAAGGTCCAGTGTGTAGGATTTAGGGAGATATATTGGCGGAAATTTAATATAATATCACAGGTATGTTTTCTTAAAAATAGGAATTGTTGTGTTTTCGTTACACTTGTTCGAGACAGCGCCATTCATATTTTCATACCAGCCTCCGTAGTAAGCAGCCTCTCCAAGATGAGCATGTCAGAAAAATGACTTTAATCAGTGTTTTTACCGTTTTAAATCACCAAGTGTGTTTGTTTTGGAGAGGAAAAAAACCTCTGTTGATAATTCGGCTCCCAGTTAAAACCTCCTGAACGTCCCAATCTTAAATTAACCGAGGAAAAAGGTGAGCACACATTTGCAGGTGCTGGGCTAGTGGCCTATCTCCAACATGCCAAACAGTGTCGGAGAAACATTGATTAGTAACGTGAAACTGTTTTATTCAGTGTTTTTATCAGTTTAAATCGCCTGACCAGTTTGTTCTGGAGAGGAAGAGACCTCTGCAGATCATTCCTGAACAATAAACACTGAAGGAATTCTAACTGGGAGAAGTTTCAGCTAGTTGCAATGTGCAAACCTCACCGCTAGAGGCCACTAAATCCCCCTACATCTTACACACTGTTCCTTTAACTCAATAGCAGGTGGGGTGTATAAGGCTGAGTGACAGAGGAAACATTTCAGGCATGTTATGTTAAATATTTCAATCATGCATTACCTTACAGTGAAGATGAAGGTGGAGTCCATGTGAATAAGGCTTTGAATGTAACCGAGGACCAGCAGTTGATGCAGCTTTCCTCTCTCTTGGCCAATCTTGGATGGACCCTCCAAAACAGGCAGCAGCACAGTTTCTTGACCCATTAAACAGTGTTTCCCCACGTCTCAGACAACATCTCTGAACCTGAATTTGAGAATACAATAAACAGTCAGTGAATAAAAACAATAATCACTTGGCAAATATGGTGTTAAATGTCACAGTTTCCATTATTTCCAGACTGTATTTATCCAGGAAAGTTGATGCTCTGTTCCCAATTGCATATTTTTGCACCTGTGAGCTCTGAGCCACAGCTATCTGCTTCAATTGAGCAACTGTTCCAGCACTTTTAACAGTTTTACAGTAGTTTAAAAGATGGAAAACAACAACTGTTTGCTTCTTAAACTGTTTTACATGTGAACCAGTGACTGTTAGCATGCTCTAACCCTGGGCTCCTGCAGCAGCAACACAACCAACAAGAGCCAAAAGCCTACATCCCATTACCTTGCATATTTATTTATCTACATATCCATCAAAGACTGACTGTGTGTACACTTTTAACTGAATCCACGTTACCTTCACAGTTGCAGATAAATGTTTGATGGAAGGAAGCGTCACATGTCGTGCACTTATTAGTGGGATACATCGCCCCCCTGTGGTCTACACAAAGTAATGTCTTTGATCGACTGTGCGGTGTTAGATTGAGGCTGCCTGGCTTCAAGCGCCGCACAATCACAACACATTTCAGAGATGGCGGCGCTGTCATCACCCCTCCGAGTCTGCAGAGGAATACTCAAAGAACTACGTGCCATTCACGGACCAACTTATAAACGGTCACTGGCCTACAGCTATGTTATGGACCAGTTTCGGAAGAATAAGGTGAGTTTCCCAGTAGCTGCGTTTAAGCTAACGTTTGCTAAGTTTGCTAACTACCGTTACGAACTACAGGGAATGAGCGTGGTGGCTAACGTTAGCTAACCTGATAACTTGAATGAAAACTTTACCGTGCTGCTAGTCAAGTTCAAACTAGTCTCGCCCTTTAGCTGTTCAGAAACGTAGGAAAAGAGTGAATGCCCAACATGACAATGTGGGGGTTGTTATTGCCAACTTTGTAAGATGTTGAAGTAGCGTAACGGTTACACGCAAGGTGAAGCAGAAGGACATGCTAACGTTAGCCTAGCATAGCTTAGTGTTAAGGCGCAGGTGAGTGCTCCGTCTGATAATGAATAAACTAACTGTTTAAGTTCCTACGCATCGATGTGCAGGCTGCTACACAAGATTTAGTAATTAAATATGTTCAAATAATCGTCGTTAATTGGCCTTTGCGTTAACGTGAACCCAGATTAACAGGATTAGGCTCAAAATAATGCAATATAAAAAACTATAATAGCTAACCGTTTTTACGTTACCAAAGAATTTGTATGCTTCCGCGGGATTAAATAGATACTTGTAACTGTGTTTAAACTTTGTTTTAAAGCCTCTAATAAGCTTTAAATCTGTTTGTAATTGCGTCTATATGACCACATTCATCTCCAGGGGCAGCCCTAATTTAACTTTGTCTTTATTGTATTTATTTTAATTAATGTGTATAGCTATTCTTATATTAAACATACAGCATTTAACAGTCTGCCATCATGTCAATCTGACTGCATGTAATTGTTTCCAAAAAGAAAACAGTAGAGCTGCTTGCTCCATTGAAGGTTTGTTTTTTTTAAAAGCATATAGGCTTAAAGCTTTTATTATTTATGCTTGGAAGAACCTGGCTCACCAGGCTGGTTGAATGCATGTGCAGTCAAGTGAAGCAAAATAGCTGGGAGCAACTCTTGCCTGACTGTGTATGTGTCCCAGCTCCGAAAAGCCTCGGAGGCATTGTAATGTATACGTGAATCTCTATAGGGTCTGGACTAAATGCTTACTATCCATGTAGCTGTTATGGTTGATGGAGGGGAAAGCGTGTGATATAGGGACATGTGTTTACTTTACATTGTCTGTTATTGTCATTGTGAACTCCATGTTGTTCACCAGCTAGACCTGAAGGCATTTATTCATATTTTCTTTACTTGATTTCATTTTTTCTTTACTTACTGATAAAATAAATAAAATAAATTGTGCATGCTGTCTTACCTATATCACTCTCCCCTTTATAGTTTGATCTTCATTCACATTTTCTCTCTTTTCCCCTCTGACAGGTAACAGGAGAAAGGTACTGCCGTGCCCAGCAGGAGGCACACCACGACTCACACACATACCTGTGTTTGCTGGCGTCCACCAGGACCCACTTGGCTCTGCACAATCTCTACCACAGCAAGGGAGAGCGCAGTCCAGAAGAAGTGGCCGGCCTGGTGGGGCTCAGGTTGCCCACTCAGCCTGGAGGTAAAGGCTGGGAGAAGTGAGGACATGGGAGGGTGCAACATTGGAAGAAAATCTCAAAAACTCTTCACAAATGACTTGTTTGTGGCTGATTTATCTGGTCTCATATAATCCACCACATGATAAGTAAACTCCAGAGGAATACTTGTTTGTCTGGCAGATGGAGGATTGTGCCATCATGGACAGCTTTGAGAGAACTCAACTTAATTTCTGTTGTTTTGTTCTGTCAATGGTCAATATGAGGATAAGCTGATTTGAGAGTATGGGAAGCAACTGTGAAAATAAATGCCATAATTAAAAAGCTGTTGTTGAGCTGTAAATATACTGTACCTGCAGCTTGTCCACACATGCTTTTGTTTGTGTTTCGGCATTTTTCCTAACTGTATAAAGGCAAAAGCAACCATTTAAATGGACTGTAAGTACATTTTCATTTTGCTTCATTTGTCCCATTAAAATATTAGTCACTGTCACACTTTGAGTTTTTGTTAAAAGCGGTTACACATTAGAGCTGCAACAATTAATCAATTAGTCGTCAACTGTTAAATAATCACCAACTAATTTGATAGGCAATTAGTCAGTTTCAAGATTTTTAAGAGTCAAAATTCTCTCATTCCAGCTTCTGCAGTGTGAATATTTGCTGGTTTCTTTACTTCTCTATGATGGCAAACTGAATATCTTTAAGTTGTGGACATAACAAGACATTTGAAGATGTCATGATGGGCATCTTGACTGCTTATAATTATCCATCTGGTGCCAGGCTGCTAGCACTGGTTGAATGTTTAGGAAGGTGTGCCTGGACGGAAAATGGTGACACAGACGTGCCATGGTAATTTCAAAATAAAGGCGTATATTCAAGATGATGATATGCAGCAGTGTTTTCACTTTGCATCATTAATATTATTAACATTATTGATTCAGATCGATGTATCGCCGATTTGTCTGATTTGTCCTCTACTCTTGTGCTTTTGTGTGAGTGTGCATTTCGGTGGACGACAAACAGGGTTACCATGGATCCTTAAAAAGCTTTTAAAAGGCAGTGAAATCATTCATCTAAAAATAAGGCCTTAATTGGTTTTAAAATGTCTTAGAGCAAAATTCAAAAATCTTTAAAATGCTTAAAGATGCTAAGTAGGATTATGAAACTTTTTCTGACATTGCATTGTAAAATCCCAGAATAATTTGTAACAGGTATTTTTTATATAAATATTTTTTAAATTGTCTCTTGTATGAAAGCTACAATAGGTAATTTTTATCAGAAAAATAACTCATTTGCTTAAATTGTCATTCTATCCTGTCAGTAGTACGCAAGACAGACCATCTGTGAAAATAATCTGGTTCCCATGGCTACTCCTAGTTCTCCTAATGGCTTTTGAATGAATCTCCTGCACCTCAACAAAAGATAGATCAATAAATAAAGCCAGGCGGAGTCTCTAACCCAGTCCCAAGTAGTGATTACACTGCGTCAGAGACTCCTCCTGGCTCTGAGTGGTTGTTTTCTTTCAGGTGCAGTGGATTGGAGAACTACAAGGATGCAGAGGAGCCTGGTGTTTTTCATGGGTTATCTGTGTTGTGTACTACCATCAGGATGTAGTGATAGTTTCAGCACATATGACTAAAGGTAATTTTTATAGAAGTTACCTACTGCAGCTTTAATGTCACACAGATCTGGATAGTGAAACCAAACACACTCGGATTTTGTTTCCGGCTGAGATTTGTCAGAGCAGAGGATCCACTGTCTGCTGGTCAGCTGTTACTGTACTGTGGACGACGTGGAAAAGTACAAATTCAATGAAAATTGGCTGTTTAACAAAGATTTTGGCTGGCTGAAACTGCTTTTAGACCAAGGGTGTCAAATTCAATTTAGTTCACAGGCCACATACAGTCTGATTCGATCACAGGTGGGCCGGACCAGTAACCCTGACATCACCACACAGAACTAAAGTGAAAGAAAAGAACTGTATTCTGATTGGAGTGGAAAAGCCCCTGAAGCAGCATTTTACACGACAACAGCTACTCAGTGTTTAACTTGCTCCTGAAACCTGGCCCCTCTCAGCCTTCACAAGTGCATCACTTTTAGGTGTGCAAGGTGATCCAGTGGGCCAGATTAGACCCTGTGGCAGGCTGGCTGTGGCCCCCAGGCTGTATGTTTGACACCACTGCTCTAGGCAGTGTGTACAAGGCTTGGTGTACGTCATGCAAAAAGTTTTTCAAACTCAGCACAATGGGAATTGAGGCAGTAGATTCCAACATTGCCAAGTCATGTTTTATGTTACAACAAATATTACAACTCTAAATAACTGATGTCGGTTAATGTTTTTTCTCGTGGCAGCAACTCAATGCATTGACGTATGTAGACATGGTGAAGACGACCTGCTGAAGTTCAAACTGAGCATCAGAATGAGGAAGAAAGGTGATTTAAGTGACTTTGGATGTGGCATGGTTGTTGGTGCCAGACAATAGAAGATTGGAAAAACGTTGCCTGGTCTGATGAGTCTGGATTTCTGCTGCCACATTCAGATGGTAGGGTCAGAATTTGGTGTAAACAACATGGAAGCATGGATCCATCCTGCCTTGTATCAATGGTTCAGGCTGCTGCTGGTGGTGTAATGGTGTGGGGGAGATTTTCTTAGTACCAACTGAGCATGGTTTAAACACCACAGCCTACCTGAGTATTGTTGCTGAGCGTGTCCATCCCTTTATGACCACAGTGTACCCATCTTCTGATGGCTACTTCCAGCAGGATAACGCACCATGTCACAAAGCTCACATCATCTCAAACATGACAATGAGTTCACTGTACTCCAATGGCCTCCACAGTCACCAGATCTCAATCCAATAGAGCACCTTTGGGATGTGGTGGAACGGGAGATTCTCATCATGGATGTGCAGCTGACAAATCTGCAGCAACTGTGTGATGTCATCATGTCAATATGGACCAAAATCTCTGAGGAATGTTTACAAATATATATATAATGAAATGCATATCAAGTCAACTACAACAACCTCATCTTTTCTGGCCCTGTGATATCTATCCCACTTTTTTTTTTTTTCATTAAATCTGCCCTTCCTGTTTCCTCTTACTCCCCAGTGGTGACTAACATTGCCTTCAGTGTGAATCTAAATAGACTAACCCTAAAGCAAAGCAACGCACAGTGACACAGGGAGTAAGACGTGCACCCATGCGCTGCCCCAAACTAACACACACACACACACACACACACACGAAAGAAACTCCAATGCATCCTGACAAACCAACAGCTTGTGTCAAAAATTATATTGCACCAAAAGCAGGATGTAAATGTGCTTCTCCACTCCCCGCTGTTTTACGCATCCCGGAGCAGACAGCCATGACAAACGGAATGAGAGAGAAACCCTAACAAAAGCTGAGTGGCACTGAAGGTTACTCTATTTTTGGGGAGGGGGGGATTTGGAAGAGGTGACTCCCTAGAGATGCTGCATCTCATACCAGGGAGTTAGTTATGCATGTATGTGTAATGTCAGCACAACCTGAACTCATCTGGGGGGTGATTAAGTCAGGGGAAATTACCCCCTGTGCTGCATGCTTGATGCCCCACTTTAAGTGAATTTAAACGCCTGTGAGTGAAAGGTGGTGACATAAGTGAGCGTCAAGCTGGTAAAAGGAGAAACTAAGAGCGGAGGAGGGCGGAGACACCCCAGCCGTCACGGTGGAGGCTGATTTGTTCATTCCTAGGTTCGGCAAAGGGCGAGGAGTCAGCATCTCCCAACTTCTGTCTCCGAGAGGGAAACAAGCATCTGTTGAGAGGTCTGTGCTCACTGGAACAAGGCGCGCACTCTGCGCTTTGGAGCATCTGGGTACTGTTAGCTCTTATTTATCAAGGTGTTTGTTTTTTTAAGGAGTCGGACGAGCACATAAGGGTCAGTCGAGAAAGAAAGTTATCACGCACGAGGACGAAAAGGGAAGGACACAGGAAACCAAAAAGGAGCGGAGAGAGGAGAGGTGACCTGGCCGAAGACGCGACATGTTTGGCATGATCAAGAATTCGCTCTTCGGAAACACCGAGGAGACGGAATATAAATTGCTCAGCAGCGAGACGAAGGTAAGCAGCGCGCGCGGGCACCTGTCAGATGTCAGACACAACGTCATCATCACTGATATCTGTAAAGCTTCTGCAAATTCTGCCCTGCGCGCTTCTCTGTGTGGCTACATGCGCGCAGTAATCCTGAGGTGCGAGGTTTCTCCTGTTTGCATGAATATTTCATCCAGCACTTAACCCTAACTAGGTTATATTATTGTAATTGTTTTTTAAAAATGATCCTGGACTTTGCAGAGTGCATCACAGTCCCTGTAACCTTGACTGACAGCCTGGCAGTTAATTGCTTGTGACCTATAAGGATGCCCGCTGAGCCGCAGTGTGGGGCAAAGGGGCACAGCAGCCAGGGGTCCTCTGCCAATCAGCAAGACAGGGATGAATAAAGATGATGATGCTGGGTGTTTGTGTAACCTTAAAACAACAACACACTAGACTAAAATCAGGAAGGGTTTAAGGTGCTGTGGGCCACTGTTTTTCCATCATGACATTATGCATGTGTGTGCCACGTGAGTCCAAGCCAACTGACCCTGCCCTGGATGCAGAGCAGAGGTGTTTGTGGTTAACCCTTGAGCTAGGATATGGACCTGGTGTGTACACTGATACACTGACCATTGAAAACTGACGTCAGAGAGAAGGAAGGGCATGCCCTTTACATGTCAGCACCCCCACCCCCACCACCACCATCATCCAGTGTATGTTTACGTACATATTGTGTTTGCCTATATTTAATGTATGCACACATTGGATGGATTCCAGCAAACTCAGTGATGTGAGTTATTAACCGAGGCAATGCCCAACAGCCATTTCGAGGTTCTTCTCTCCGCTGACCCACAGTGCACTACTGTACATGTGCAGTTAGGCATGTAACGTCGCGGTCAGCATGGGTTTTTTTCAATCTGCATTGTGTGTGTTTATCTCTGAATAGCTTGTTAACTTTTGACAGGGACACAAAAGGCACACGGGCTGAGACAAAGAGGACTTCCAGCCCAAATGACCAGACAGGCAGGGAGCCACATGACCTAAACTGACACATTTACCCGCACACACACAAACTGGAAGGCAGATCTGTTCTGACATTGCATACTAACATCTATTGTCTGGAGCTAGAATTCAGAAAAGTCAGTTTAAGCCAGCAGTAAAATAACTGCATGCAAATACTCACATTTGAACTTGAAAAGAATGAATGTTACTGCGCAGCTCTGTGAGTAAATTTCAACATTTTATTGCTGAAAATTTGACAGAGGATCAAATGCAGGATGATGTCAAAGGCCACCACAGTCTCCACACTTCCTCTAAGCATCATTAAACAGGCTTGAATTGCCAGAGCTCAAAGCTCATCAAATCTCTGGACCTGACTGACTCGTTTAAACAGCAGGTATTGAAATCAGAGCTTGTCATCTGATCGGTGGAGCACCCACCTGACTCTGACACCCAACACTCTTAATTAAAACTGACACAGAATACAGAGGAGTTGGCAGGGCATACACACGTACCTATGCGCACACATTCACACCGGAATAACAGCAACATATAGGTGGAGCTCAGCTCCAAGTTTGCTAATGAATGTAAAAGATTATTTTAACCCAAGTGAAATGACACGGCAATTTAACACTCACAGTGTTGATAATCGTTTGTGCTCACTCCTCCGGCATGAAGTAATTATCACTGTAGCCTATAAGCTGGCAGAAGACAGCAGCTAAACACACACAACCTCAGACACGTTAATTGTACTGCTTAACTGAACTCAGGCTCTGCTTTCTCGCTATGCCATCCTGTACACAATGTTAATGGTGGTCCTGCTGACAAGTCATACAGAGAGGAGCCCGTGTAATTACCATGCAGGAGCCTGGGTACCTGTCACAAGTTAGAGCTGCATGATAACATGGTGTTATCTTGTATGTGCTGAGGGATGAATGCAGAAGTGTTGTTAAATCACAAGACCACTTTACCTCTGTGAGTCAGTGAAAAAATAAATCTGAGCAGATGTAACTGTAGCATTATTAAATCTGTAATATTAACAATAAAATATTAAGTTTGTATCTTTACTTTTTGGGGGGGGTTTGAAGTTGATTTGCATTTGTCCAAAGACAATGGATTTTTTTTTTACTGTAACAAGATGTATTTACGTACTCCCTGCCAATTTTTAGGTACACCCACACAACAAACTAGTATTTTGTTTTATCTATTCTTTTCCAATGTAATTGCAAAGTGGGAGGAGCCACTCGTTCAAGAATATTTTCCTTGCTGTAATTCCCCCTTTTTTTTTTTTTTTTTAAAGTTTTTTTTGGGGCATTTTGCCTTTAATGGACAGGATAGCCAAGTGTGAAAGGGGGAGAGAGAGAGAGGGGATGACATGGACTCGAACCCAGGCCGCTGCGGCAGCAGCCTTGTACGTGGGGTGCGTGCTCTATCCACAAAGCCACTGACGGCCCTTGAATTTTACTTTTAATGACACAACATTACTGAACACAGAATCAAATGAGACTCCTCGATAAATACACAATGCTACAGGGTGATGTTGTGGCAGTTGCTTCTAAATGGTCCAAAATCACCAAATCTCCACCCCAAAAACTGTGATCGGGAACAATGAGTGAAGTGGGTCATGCTGGACCACATAAGCCCTCGCCCTTGAGTAAAGTTCAAAGGTGCTGGAAGTGACTGTAAAGAAACATTAAACGATGAAACAGAGCGATAAAATCCTCCATATAACTAAAATAATCATTCAGCCAACCAAACAATGCGCACACTTGCACACAGAATACAGTTAGCACTCACAAATGACGCTCACAAAGGCACACGTATACATACGCAGGATGATACAGTTGTAACACATCTCAGGTTATCAGCTAGTTTGTTCCAGAGAGCAGCACCACATGTATCCCAGATGCATTCAGGAGACACGTGCTTGAAGATCTGAGGGTTCTGGTTAGCAGGTTAGAAATATATTTAGGAGCCAAACCATTTAAGACCAAGCATTAATAATTTGAAATCAGTTCTGTACTGTACCGGCAGCCAGTGGAGGGTTTTTAGTACAGATACAGTATGTTCTGTTTTCTTAGCATTCTGAATTAGCTGGAGCCTGCCTATTGTCTTTTTGGGAAGTCCATCAAAAAGGTCATTGCAGTAATCCAATCTGCTGGAGATGAATGCATGGACCAATTTTTCGGGGTCAGATTGGGACAGGAAGCTCCAAAGATTGGAAATGTTTTTTAAATTGTAGAAAGCTGTTTTGGTAATTGCCCTGTAATGGATGTAATGAAAGATGCCAATAGACACTGGAGATGCAATCAAGTATCAAAATGTTCAGTTTGAGATAATTATCTTCTCAATTAGCTACACTTTCAGAAATAATTGCAAATGCTAGATCTCCGTATTAAAATTAAATTGCCTTCACTTGCAAATTTCTGTTTTACTTAGCATTGTCTACAAACACTTGTCGTGCTTGATCTGCATAATAATCGAATGCAAAAGTTGCCTTAAGGGAATATTCCACCTGCAATTGCGAATCAATTACCCATGCTGTGTTACCTTATTTGTGACGAAAACTTTTTCTCACATGCATCCATGGAAAACAGCAAACTTAGTGACTTAGCGACTGATTGGGAACCAAGTTAAACAACAGCAAAACAATATCAAATCATCGTGCAGTATAATCCAAGCCTTATTTATCCAGTCGTGTGTGCAGTACTTCCTAAACACATGCAGTTTCACTTAAACCTTAGTACTGGAGTCTGGCTTTGAAGCGAGCATATTTCCAGTTCAGTTTTGATTGCTAGCAACACAAATATAGCAACTGGAAGACATTTAAATACACTATGATTGGACAACAGACAAAGGGTCAGAAATTGAAATGGAGACTAAAACATTTGTATGAAATTTTGTGATGTGAGTTTTCCATCAGAGAAGAGGGAACATACTTCGGGAGGCCACACAAGTGAGCATATGCAGTGGGAATGATGCCCACCCAGAGTGTATTTTCATTGTGTCTTTGTGCTGTTGGTGTCATTATGTTATCTGTAAAATATTGTAATAGGCCGGTCACGATAATGACTTTTGGTGGATGATTTATCGTCCCTGAAACAACTCATAAATGATGTTATTCTCATTTTAAGACCATTATATGCTGCTGATATAATGCAACCTTAAATGATTCATGGGGTTGGTGGATAACGCTTAAAATAAATTAGTTTTTCAGCGTAAAAAAAGCTTTGTTTCATTAATGCGTTTTACTCAGTTGACAACCAAGTTAGAATACCTTATCTAAAAATAGTTTGACCACTAAATATTAACACAACTTTTATATAAATGTGAAGTTAATTCAACTAATTAAGTTTTTAATGGTCAAAGCAAATTATGTCGGTGGTACTAAACTAATTGAGTTTGTCCGATTATAAAAGACTCGTAGAATTTACTCTATAGCGCCAGAGTTGGAACTACTTAAAAAGATGCATTCAAATTGTTACCCTATTTTTTTTAAGTTAATTTTTAATTTTTGAAGAATATTCAGACAGTAGAAACAACAACATAAAATAAAGCCACACAACCAAAACAATAAATAAAATGGACTCTTGGGCTCTGTCAACAAAAAAACACATTTGGCACGGGGTATAGTCAGTCATTTCATAACAGGCAACATACTGCCGAACACTGATGTTAATTCTGGTTCAAATGTTGGTGAACAAACCCACATGTAAACACAAAGGCAATATAATATAGGGGCATGACCTCAATAATTTCTGCTGACCTCGATAAGTCAATACCGTGATTATCATGATTGGCCCAGTTGTATATTTTGCAGCAGCTTCTTGCAGATAGACAGTGAACACTGCAAGGAGAACAAATCACATTGACATTAAAGTCCAATGCTCAAAACATCACACAAACAAACACAGGGCTAAAGGCTACACACAGTATAATCACATTAGCAGAACGAGCGGCTGTATTCAAATCTACAGTGGCCAGATTCCTTCAAAACCTATTAAAGTTATTGCTCAGCAGCATAGCTGAGTGGCCGTGCTCCACATTAGCCCCACTTAATCATATTTAATGCAAAACTGTTGCATCATATTGACGCTGTGTGTCGAGCGTCGTGTGTTTGCCTGTGTGCAGTTATGTAACAAGACATCTCTTGCCCATTATTCTCTGTAGGCTGACTGAACCCTGCAGAGCAGAAGAAGAAACTAAATCAAATCAGTGTAAATATGTTTCATCTGCATCTCATTATTTGGCTGCCCACATTGGTTTCACACACCCACATGTGCAGTCACACGCACACAAACGCACACACACACTGAGCCCTCCAAGTGTTAACCCCCCTCGCCAGTTCAAGGCTTTCGTCCTCGGGAGCAGATTGTCAACATCAGTGTGTCAGAGGTGAATCATCTCTGAGCTTAACCTCTCCCATACAGCAACCCCCAGGACTGGGTTTGTTTGTGTGGGTGTATATGCATTAAAGCAATTTCTGCATTTGTGTGCAGCTACAGTTGGCCTTCTGATGCCTAAACCGCCCCCGGATTTCTTTTTTCACCCCCAGGATGGAGTTAGCTTTGAGGTGCGGCGATATGATGGTGCCAAATATGCTGTTGTTTCCTCTGAGGGACGAACTTTTGACCAAGTGACTGGGGAGCTGGTGAGGAAGCTGCTCATGTACATCGGTGGGAGCAATGAACAAGGTAAGCCAATCCCAAAATTAACTTCCTGTTGGATCACTTTGCTAAGATATGTTCACTAACAGTGCAGGACCTAGTCTGTTATTACGTGTTGATGTTTTTAAAGGGACAGTTCACCTCAAAATTAAAAACACATATTATATGGTGATATGGTTGGTGGGTGCAGTCCGGTCGAAAGAAAATAGTTCCTACATGGAACTGCTCACAACAAGGTCTGTGGATTATCTTGAGTAACTGGATAATGATTTTATTTTTGGAAGGAGACACTGGTGTTTAGTTTTACAAATGCAATTTCTGGCGCTTTGAGCACCACAAGCTGGGTGCCATCTTATTTACTTTATTTATTTATTTATTTCATTTATTTAACAGGGACAGTGCACCGCTACTTAGCTGTACCAGAGGTAGCTATACGCTAATTTTAATCTGTAGTCCCCGGGCAGGAAACAGAATAATTTATCTGCTAAAAGACACTGTTATATAAAAAAACACAATTACAAAATAGACACATGACGTGACACAAAGGCTTTAGCAATAATGATAGCAAGACACCACATCATCGCAATAACAGCAACAACAATACAACTACAACATTAAGATATAACAAGATGTCATGATGTTAGATAAAGTGTTTTAGTTCATGTGTGACTGGTACATGATTGGGTTGATGTTAGTCATGATTTCATCTTAAAAGTTTCTAAATATATTGGAGAGAAGACAGACATCTCTACGGCCAATAACTCCAACACTTGGCAACTCACACTAAAACAATCTACACTGATTCATAGCATTATAGGTAAGAGGAAAAATATGTATGCTTTTGATGTGAACTGTCCCTTTAAATCACACACATAATAAAAGGATGAACCAAGAGTACTGATTTATGTTATGTAATAGAAAGATATTTATAATCTGATGAAAGCCACAGAGAAAGAAAACACTGACTAATAATAATAATAATGACTCTTACTGGGTGAATAGCAAGTTCTGCAGTTTATTAAAGGATAAAAAATATTACAATCTCCTCTCAGTTTTATAAATTAGTTCATGGAATATGTGTTGTTATTTATGCTGAGTGAAAAATCATATTCCTAGTTTAGTTTTTGATGTTAATTTAAACAGTGGCCAGTCTTAGGAAGGCCCGAAGACAAGTGTGTTTATAACTTAGTAGCAGGAGAAATGAAGATTTTGCCAGGATAATCATTTTAGGGTCCTTAAAAAGATGCAATTACATCAGCAAATGATCCTGACAAAAAAAACAGCCAAAAGTTCCTTTTCACAAATTCTTAAGTTGAGAGGAATTCATTTAGATCAGACTTAGAAAATGGATCACCAGAATTTTTTTTAACTTGCCTTCCGTAGAGTATTTAGGCTGCGTGAACATTTTAAAAATCATACTCCTAGTTTAGTTTCCGACGTTAATTTAAACAGAGGTCAGTCTCAGGACGCCCTGAGGCTGAATTAATCAAAGACAAGATCAACATACATCATGTCTCCATTCTCATTTTGAATTAACAATCTATTATTACATGACTCAGCTTAACGGAGGATGCATTTGAATAATAGTCAGACACTAATGTCCTTTGAGGTCATGTTTCCCCGCTTTAGGTCAGCAGACTAATCTAAAATCTAACCTCAGCCAACTAAAGGTGGAGTCTGAAAACTAGGCCCCAGTGCATCATCCATAGAGATGTAATTTACATGGTCTGTTTTTTGTTATTTGCATAATGATATTATGTCCTCTACACACAATCGCACAAATCCTGACCTTTAAATTTGGGTAGTATGCTTCAGGGAAGATAGTGGAGTTTCTCTCCTCTATGTTTCTCCTCTTGTTAAACTAAATTTCTATCTCACACTTCATCCTCTAAGAGGAGGCCATGGGCACAGCAGCTCCCATCATCATCACAGTGTACCCACGCAACGACGGTGTTCTGTCTCGCCGCTTGGTGGTCGCCATCCGTATCCCCACCAACTACCAGCAAGAGCCCCCAACTCCCACCGACAGTGCCATCAGGATTGAGGAGCGGCCCGGCATGACTGTCTACACTCTGTATGTGTCATTTAAAGTGTTTTCCTATCCTTCATGAAGTCAGTAGTGCTTGTTCCATTCTCTAATATCTCATTCCTTTTTCTCATTACATTTGTGCAATACTGTTGGACACATTTTTTACTTACTTTAACACACAATACTCATTTACATGTATGTATATAGTGCTATATTTTATATGTTATTTATGTAATTTCATCTTATTCTACATATCATCTTATCTTAGATCTTATTGTGGTTTTACTGTCAGGCTGACCTGTTTTGTCGTCCAACACATTTAATTGCACCATTAACCTCATGTTAACCTACATATGACTAAAATGTAAAACTGAATTGTGGTATGTTAAAGTCTTTCCATGATTTTCCCACTGTCATTATTTCGTCCGAATTTTAAAACCAATTACAGCCAACTTGTAGCACAGTTACCCCACCTGACCCAGTAGCTATTTCATTTTTGGGGGCCTTAGTTGCAGAGGGAGTCAGCGATTCTGGAGAAAGATTGTTGATATTTGAACTAAATGCCCAAACAAATACACCAGATTTACCTGAAAAGTCCATCAACCTATACAACCACATAAGTTGTATTTTCTTACATGTAAATACAACCCACAGGAGCGTTTCTTAAATTTGTGCACCTACCAGTGGATGGCAGAACAGCTCATATGAGTTAACGGTTGCAGTTATAAATATGTGGTTAACATTATGAAATAATCACAGTTGCATTAAAACTCTATGGTTCGTACTCATACTCATACTCGTCGTCCTCCGCTTATCCGAGTCCGGGTCGCGGGGGCAGCAGTCTCAGCAAAGAAGCCCAGACAGCCCTCTCCCCAGCCACTTCCGTCAGCTCTTCTGAGGGAACCCCGAGGCGTTCCCAGGCCAGCCGGGCGATGTAATCCCTCCAGCGTGTCCCGGGTCTTCTCCCGGTTGGACATGCCTGAAACACCTCCCAAGGGAGGCGTCCGAAAGGCATTCTTACCAGATGCCTGAACCACCTCAACTGGCTCCTCTCAATGTGGAGGAGCAGCAGCTCTACTCTGAGTCCCTCCCGGATGTCCGAGCTCCTCACCCTATCTCTAAGGCTGAGCCCAGCCACCCTGCGGAGGAAATTCATTTCGGCCACTTGTACTCGTGATCTCCTTCTTTCGGTCACTACCCAGAGCTCGTGACCATAGGTGAGGGTTGGAATGTAGATCGACCGGTAAATCGAGAGCATCGCTTTCTGGCTAAGCTCCCTTTTCACCACAACGGACCGGTTAAACGTCAGCATCACTACTGAAGCAGCCCCAATCAGCCTGTCAATCTCCCGCTCCATCCTACCCTCACTCGTGAACAAGATCCCGAGATACTTAAACTCCTCCACCTGAGGCAGAACCTCCCCCATGACCTGGAGTGGGCAATCCACCCTTTTCCGGTTGAGGACCATGGCCTCAGACTTGGAGGTGCTAATTCTCATTAAAACTCTATGGTTAGGTTTTGAAAAAACATCATGGTTTGCCTTCAAATTAATACATTTGTTAAAAGGGTAATGTAACGTATCTCTCGTGACATACTTGTTGAAATAAATCTGTGCTGACTTCTGGTTTGACAGGGGACACAGACACTTCTCCTGGATGAAAGTCTGGTGCTTGTCCTCCACTTCCTCCCTCTCACCCCTAGCGGACTTTCTTGCTCTTTATACTACATTGCCTGCACCCATAATAATTTCCACAGCCACCAGGGGCCGCCACCCAACAAAAGACGTAAATAACCATCGTAATTTCTGCATTTATGCTTGTATAAATGCCCTATGTGGTCATATTTTGGAGGAGTACAGTCTCGCTTTACCATTCCTCTCCAGACCTTTGCACACAGTCTGGTTTTTTTTTTGGATCTGTCATCTTAAAAAAACTGTTATGGTCAGAAACCTTGCACCTGATTCTGATACAGTTTATTGTTCTATTCGTTGTCAAAATTTGCAATATGTGACAAAATTAAAGGACACATTTCCTCATTTGCCTCTCTTCTCTGGAGTTACCTATCTTGGCTGTCACCGCTCCCTACTTGTCTTTTATTTGGCACCACAGCTGCATGAAAGGGGTGGAGCTGTCCTCCACATTCTGTGTGCGGTCCACATCCTCCTCCTCTTCACCATCATCCACCTGAATATTACTATCTGACCTGTTGAAAGTGAGCTGTCTGAGTAATGAAATGATTCTGTTCGCCCCGTTGCTCTGTCTTATTGTGGCTGTGTCCTGCCGCCACATGTTCCTCAATGATTCGTGGTCAAACATCTCTAAAGGCTCTGACGGATGCGAAGATCACAGAAAATCAAACCTGTTCTGAGATTTAAAGTTTCAGACACCGTGAAGTCGTATTTATTTTTAGACGTGTGACAATTTCCAACGGAAAAAAATGGAGTGTGCAAAGGCCTCTCATTGCCTTTCTCTTAACACATCCATGGCTTTTCCCCTGCTCTGTGCACAAGCACGAACGCCCCCTGTTGCTGATTGACTGGAAAAGCATGTGCGGCACATTTTAGTTATGCGCTTAGTTTGTTTCCCATTTAGAGAGCCAGAGCTTTCAGTGAATATCCGATCTTATTTACAGTGCACACACAGCACAGACAGATAGTGGACTTTAATTTGAAAAAAAGTGTATTGGATTAGAGTCACTGACTTTTTTCTTTCTCCTGCAGAGTGTTTGTGGTAGACCAGGTCCTAAGGCAGGTTTTCTTGACCTCACGTTTGCATTAAATACACATGTGCACTTGTGTCTTTTGGGGTCCCTGTACCACCTCAGTGAGACAGCACATCCTTTAAAAAGTCCCATAAATCCCCCAAATCAAGCTAACTTAAACTATCCACCTAATTAAACCTTTCCTCATCTCTGTTTTTATTTGTTTGCAGGCAGTTTGGAGGCTTCGCGGGTGAGAGTGAGTACCGAGCAGAGGCCTTGCGTTTGACCCGCACCCTGGGTGAGACGGCCCCCTTCCAGCGCAAGCAGTACTTCTGCTGTAGCTACGACCCGCCACTGAAGCCTTACGGACGCCGCAATGAGGTGTGGTTTCTACAGGAAGAGCCGTAGAAGCCATTCTATCCGATCTGAGTCAAATCTCATGCTGAATCCTTTATTCAACCTTAAATACCCTTTCACTGCCGACAATCCTGTAGCTCTAACAGTATTCAGTTGGTAAGAGCAATATGGTGACTTAATAGACCTTCGAACCTAAATGGGCAGATAGAGATTACCCATGTTGCCTTTACCCATCTGATCACCTGCTTTCTCTATCACGTTTCCTTTATTCTTTTATTTCTCTAAAAGAAACGACTCTGAAACAATGCGTGATGAGACTGATTCAAGGCTTCTAGACAAATGTAGTGTTAAGAAGTGAAACTTTTACTCCCATGTAATATGTTTTATACAAAATTTTAAATTTTCAGCTGTTTAAGGCAAGGAAAAATAGATCTTAAAAAACTACCTTTAGATAAACTTGTACGCTACTGCCTCTGTCTTACAGGTGTGAAACAGAAAGCTGTCTAACTCAGTGAATAATCTAACTGAATTGATTTTTTTCACCCCTTTTAGAATTAAATGTTTGTCCTAAAGGGTCGATCAAACCCCTGTAGAGCTCTCTTCTCCCTAAAGAACACACTGTAGGGCTTTGCACATCTTTTATCTAGTTTACACTTTAGTGACGACTACAGAGAAATGTACAGAATTAACAGTAGATACATGGTAGATAAAAGCACACTTCCTTTTCCTGAGTCAGGAACTGGATAAAAAACGGGAGTTGAGCCATAAAGTAGAATTAGTCTTTATGAATTAATGGCTGTACAGCTGAGTGGACATTAGCTATAGCTAGCTGTAGGTGTCGTTATAAACTCTGTGGTTATGTGTCGATGCAGGAAGCCTGTGTGTGTAGTGAGTAGTTTGTGTTTTAGTGCATGACAATGCCATCTTTATTTATTCCGAGTCTTAAAAACTGTGTTATGCGATACTCCTGTACTTTGTGGTTTTCTGTGATGGGTGAATATTATGTTCAGGCTTGATAGTGTTTCATAATATAATAAATATGTTATTCAGTAAGAGTGTGGGTAATTCTAGTTGTTTTATTTCTTTATTTGTTGAACGCTGTCAGGGACAGAATCAGTCCAGGCAGTTAGGGAAAATACAAATCAGTTGCAACAGGGCCCCCGGTGCAATCACACTGCCTGCATGGTCTATATTTACACCCCTGGTTCAAAGTGTCCTGTCAACAGTTTTACAGCCGTCTCTTTTACAGTGGTGGCTGATGGGAAAAATGTTTTTTGGGCTACAGCAGGGTATTTTTTGCTGCAATACTGCAAGTGGCCACTGGGGAAAATTAGCTGCAAGGCTAAGCAGCATTCCTGGGGACCTGATTGTACCTAACCCTTAACATACTGTTAAGGCTTCTGCTGGGGTATGGCAACACTACTTCACACGTAAACCAAGTGCACACTATAATACTAGAACTGATAGTATTAATATTGGCATTTAGTTAAGTGTATTTATGGTGGTTGGTGATGTGACCCCACCAATATTCACCTAACTTGTATCTGAATTGACTTGAAATCTGAATTACTCTCTGTGGAGCTCTTAATTTGAAAATGTATTATAACCTATATTATATACCTATGTCCTTAATGGTGCAAAAGAAATAAAGCAATAAGAAGCAAGTCTAATATACTGAGCACAGTAGTCAACAATAAAATTACGCATTGTGGTAAATGGACTGTATATATATGAAGATTAATAGATTAAATGTTAAGAACACAAGTATACCAAATGCAGCAACAATTCAGTTTGTCAATTAAATATTTAACCCATTTTAACAGTTTAAAAATGAGGAATAAATAAATGTTACTTTTTAAGACATTTACTTTAAAATTTAAGATAAATGACAAAAATATCAAAATACCAAATTCAATAAATGATATATTTATTAGATTTTAATGGACAGACAAATTTCAGCAAAAGGAATAAGAACTGCAAAAGAGATATTAATATACATACATTTGATTAATTCAAGCAAACTAACCCCCCCCCCCAAAAAAAAATCCTTTCGCCACTTCAACTGTGAGCAAATAGTCCTTCAAACAGGTGTTAATTGATGAGCAATAAGAGGGGCCTGCGATTACACGGCCTGTTGGCGCCTCGCCCCACTCTAAATCAGGAATAAATGGTTTGCATTCAGAAGTTTCAACAGCAGGCAGAACACTGACGGGCCCTTAATATAGCGCCATGGCCCTGTAACCCCACACTAGTGTAATTACACAAAGAGTAGAGTTCTGGTTTCAGCTTGGCTTTGCATACATGAATACAATAGAAGCTAGGAGCAGAGCACGGGGTCACTCTGGTAACCCCAGCTCGTCACCTTTAACCTTGTTATGTCAGGTTGAAATATTGCACATACATAGATGTGTTGTGTAAGAAATTTATCTGATCCCCTTTTTCCAAATGATGCACTGCTCCTTTTCATAACAAAAACCTTTCTTATATATATTAAATCATGATGGAGAGCGTGAGATTTGGGTCATACAATGAATGGAATTACTTGTCACTGATGTAACGCAGGATCACGCTGGTCATGTGTTAGGGAAACTTCAACTTGCTGTTGTTTCTAGTCATGGTATGACAATCAGTCACATACTGAATCACTAAACACTGTGCAACCCAGTCTGGTTTTGTATATGGACAACTACTGAACGCATAACGGTATAGGAAACACACACGGTACTTTCAATGATACTGCAAAAATACCTTTTATAATAGGAGATGCTATTGTTAATTACTACAGGAACTGCAATCAAGAATTGCTACAAAATGTTTTGGTAATAAATCTGTCTTACAAAATTACATTCCCCATACTTCCTCCTCCTTTCACCTCTTCACAAGGACAGTTTACGTGCCCTTACTTTACCTACGTGCTAGAGAATTAGAAATTAACCCAATCACTGAGAATGTTAATAATGATGAGTCTAGCTAGAGTTCAGTTTAAACGAAGTGAAATGTAAAACAGTATTTAAAAGATGTGATTCCAGTATTCAAAAACATCACTGATTCATTGGTGAATTATCACTGACATCTTTAAACCCTCTGCTACTTGCATTTTCTTCTGTTTTCTACATTCGAGTAGGTATCCATCAACGTCACTCCTTGCTTTAGAATTTATTTAAGATACAGAGGAAGAGAGGAGTGTCATTGAAGTGATGTTGCCTGAGCTTCAGTTACTTTTCTTGTCAGGAGAGTTGGGATAAGGTGCATATGGTGGAGGCCGCTCCTGCGTGGGAATCAAGAAAAAAAAAGTGTCATTAGAGATGTCACTTTCAAACAACTTTAACTGAGGAGAAGACAAGCAAAGCAGCTTACCATGGGCATGTAGACATTGTGTGGATTGCTGGGATTGTAATACGCGCTGCCTGCTGCTTCAGCCGCCTTGGAGTTACCTGTGCATAAAATGAGATATGACAAAGACATGGAGATAAAGACAGACAGTGACGACTGCTGAACATATTTAGGAACAGACGCTAAAGCTCCAGCCCACTGTAAGGAGAACTGATGCGAAGAGTATTAGTCATGTGAGGCACAACAACTGACAGCTCCAGGAGTCCTTGAGACAAAATCTACCGGCACACCCTGGGGATGCACAGAGGCAAACGTCCTACTCAGGCTTGTCCTGAAATAGAGATATGCCAAAGTGACATTTCAGCACAGTGTACCAAGCTCAACCCCATGTGCAGGGTGAGACTGTTTTCACTGAATCCACAAGGTGCAAGGGAGAGAGTATGGGGAGGGAGACGGGAGATTGTTTATCCTTTGTAATTTTGACATGTAGCCGATGAGACATCAGCACCCTTTTTTGGGTGGCGTGCTTGGAAGTGATTCACTTTGAGGCAGACGGATCAGATCTGACGGGTGCAGTGACACAGACAAACAGAGAGGAAAAAATAAAGAGAGGGAGAGAAACAGACCTGGAGGTGGTGGTGCTGCTGCTGCCCAGTTCTGGGGTGGTGCAGCCCAATTTGGGGGTGGCCCAGGGTAGGGAGGAGGCGGGGCCATGTAGTCAAAACCAGATGGGTACATTCCTGGAACACAGAAGACAACAGACGAGAGAGACAGAGAGAGAGAGATGGAGTTTCAAGGTCAAATGAGGTTACAGTCTGTGTGGGCAATTAGTTACACAGCAGACAAAAAAAACAAGACAAACAAGAGGAAAAAACTAAACGCGAACAGGAAGGGAGAGAAATGGCAGCATTATTTGTGCCTCAAGGGTTTTTTTCCTTACACGCATTAGGACATTTGAGGTAAAACGTGTATACAAGATATAAAAATGTGTGAGTGCTCTGCATACACAGGCAGGCTAAAAACTATCTTGTTATTACTCCTACCCCTGTATGGTCTGTAGTTTAAAAATTTAACATACTAGTGTTAAAATTGTAGCATCTCGCACATATTTTATCTTTATACTTTTACATACTTCACACCTATACTTTAATTCCCTATGCTTTGCATCAGAGCAACTGTAACAAACCCCAATTTCCTGCCAGGGATCAATAAAGTATTTCTGATTCTGATATAACAAATGACTGAGTCCTGTACCTGCAGGAGCTGTTGGATTTGGGTAGCCCATGTTAGCAGCAGCAGGAGGAGGAGGGCCCTGGTAGAATCCGTTCTGCTGGGGAGGGGGTGCGTAAGGATAGCCTTGAGGAGCAGGTGGAGCTGGGCCGTAGCCGTTCATCATTCCAGGTGAAGGGTAGCCGTATGATGCAGCACCGTTCTGTGCCGGAGCAGCGCGAGAAGCTGGAACACAGCAGGAGGAAAGGGTCTCTCACAATGAATACACCGGACTTTCCAGAGGTTAAATGTGTGTTTACTCACTGTATTGCCGCAATTGTCTCTCTTACTTACAGTAAGTATATCTATAGTACTTGGGTTGCTCTTTAAAGAACTCTTTTGGGGCAGACCTTCAGTTCATTTATTGATTGATATTTAAAATCTTAACTGTAAATAAATTGATATTTATTTACAGTTAAGATTTTGACCACCTTGAAACAGGTTTTCATTACCTTTCTCAACCCATATTAAAGGGGAATGCTGGTATTTTTCAACCTGGATCCTATTTTACCACGTTTTTATGTCTAAATAATTTGTGGGAACAACAGTTTTTGAAATTGATCCAGTAAAAAAAGAAAGTTCAGCTGGCTTAAGCAATCTTAAGCAATAGAGGCTGCAGTGTAACCACTCAGGGCAGGTGAGCCCTGTCAATTTATGTCAACTGTAAGTGCTTGTTTTTGCCACTGACAGGCTCAGATTATTATATTAAGTGTCGTACAACATTACGGAAAAGACGCTACAGAGGATTGAACATTTTTCTGTACTTTTTCACTTCTTCTGGTCTGTTCTGTGTTCAAGTTACGCTAACAGGAAGTCTCATTCTGAAATTTCACAAGAGCTGACTTGTTACAGGTTGAAAAATACCAGAGTTGTAAAACACAGTGATGAAAAAAAAAATAGCATACGTACCATTTGTGGCCAGTTTGAAGAGATGCTGCCCCACCTCAATGGCTCCTCCGCTGGGGAATGACATCTTGAAATGGGCCTGGCCCTCCCAGCCGCCTGATGAGAGAGTCAGCTATATTTAGAACAAATACAGAGAGCTACACTTGTGTTTTATTGTGCAGTCCCTTTGTTTTATTTCATTGTCTATTGTATTTTACAATATGAATATGACAATTTATAGAACCACACCTTAGAGGTTAAGAGTAAAAATAAAAGGCCACCTACCACCAGGCTCAGCTGACACTGTCCCTTTAATGTAGTTGGCTGCAAAGACGGGCTGCTCAATGCTGCAGCCTTTCATCAGATAATAGGGGAACATGGCTGAACCCAGGCAGTCCTTGGTATTACTGGACACAAACATCAGCTACGCCAGTGAATGAAAACAGAGAAGAGGAGTGTGAGAAGAGATACAACAGGATGTATGAGTACAGCCAAGAAGATAGCAGCAGCAATAGCATGTTAAATATATTTTATGTAACTTTGGTGGTACCCTGTATGGTGTGAGGTAAATGGTGCCCTTCTTGGTCCCCCGCAGGAGGTCTGTCTTGCAGCTGACATCGCTGAATGTCAGCTCCACATTCTTACATTCTCTTAAAACGCTGGGAAAAGAAGAAGCAGGTGATGATAAAGTAACCTGTTAACATACAGCCACTACAAGATATCTACTGATTCAATTATGTCACAGAGTATTAATGTTAATCGACTGTGCTTGTATTGTGCTTTTCTAATCTTCCAACCACTCAAAGAACTTTTTACACTCCATGCACACACACTAATGGGGCAGCCAGCGCGAGCAATTTGTGGTTTAGTATCTTGCCCAATGATACTTCGACATGTGGAATGGAGGAGCCAGGGATCGATCTGCTCCATTCAGCCAATCTACCAATTAGTGGACGACCCACTCTATCTCTGATGCCACAGCCGCCCATGTGCACTACTGGACATTTACTAAAGTACTGTACTTAAGTATTATTTTGAGGTACTTGTACTTTAGTTGAGCATTTACATTTTCTACTACTTTATACTTTTACTCCACCACATATATTTCATAACTCTATATTTTACATAGTCATTTTACCAATACAAAATATACATCAGCAAGTGAATAATGATGTATAATGGCAGGTTAAACTACCCCGTGGTATATAAGGTTATAAAAATGAGCTCCACTTTTACCAGCTACAACATTAAAGTGATAAATACATTAATGCAGCAATGATCATAATCCAACAACATAGATATATTATTCTGGAATGAGCCATTCTGCATAACAACAAGCACATTTACTTTTGATTACTTAAGTATATTTTGATGCTAATACTTTTAGTTTTTGGAACAAGTTACATGAGTGATTTCAATTAGACAGGTCGTTCCATCATTTCAAGTGTATGCTAGATAATATGGTTGTTTTACAGTGTTCCTGCTCTGGTTAACTGACATTAATCAAATGTTTATTTCTCTGCATTTTGCTGTTTTTATTCTTGTTTTGTATCCATTATTTAGGGTAGACTTTATTCTTGTTATTTACCTTTTCCTGGTTCTTTATTGCTGTTTATAATTCTTGATAGACATTGCTGCTAGTTAGTTGCTTTTATAGACTTTTTTCATCATTTTATTGCGGTTGCTATTATTTATCTGTACACTTTAAGCCTATTAAATATGAACTCAGGACATTTCTGTACAAGAGCGTAATGCTCAGTCGATTATCCCTGAATAAACAATTGTTTAATGGTGACTAAGATAATGATGCACTTTCACTCAAATACATTTTAGATACAGGACATTTACTTGTTACAGAGTATGTCTACACTGAGGTACTAACCCATTTTACATAATATCAAATATGTCAACATTGACACGAAAGCCACCGCTACTTCCTGTTTTGATTGTTGGCCAACGTTACAGGTTAGCCATTTTGCTTAAACCAAATGTCAAGATATGGGAAAGCTAAAAAGTCGGCCATTAATAATATTATATAACCAACGTTTAAACAACACTACAATATTTTAATTCCCCCAATATGAAGTCCACAGCTAACGAAACGTCAACAGTAGCGCAGATGTACTTTTGCTAGCTATGCTAATGGTAGCCAGGCCAGCCAGCGGGAGGCTAGCGGTTTGTTAGCATTATGTTGACTACGCACTGGAAACTAGAAAGTAAACAAGCCTTAAAACAGAGGCGACAGCCGGCTGGTAAATAAAACAATCGTCAGGGGAGTATTATAATACACATACCTTTCTCCGTTGTTAACCAAAACGCCACCATTTTGCGAGTGATTCCGATTCAAAGCCATGTTTGGGAGAAGTCTTCTGCTCTCTTGCTTCCCGTACTGGAGTCTGACCGTCAGCCCGACGGGGATGCCCCAGAAACGTCACCGGCGTTACGTCACGTCAACTCGTGATTTGGATTACCGTGAGACAGTCAACATTATTAGCATACAAACAGCTGAGTCCTGCACATTTAAATCTCTGTTTGACATCTGATAGGATGTAAATAACTACAGGTTTGATCCAATAAAAGTTTTGTGAGTTCTCTGTGTCCTATTCATTCGCCTATGTTCTGGAATATAGGCAGCTAATCCTCATGTGATTGAAACCAACTCAGTCACAAATAAATTGAATTAATATAATTTTGATATAAAGTAAATGAAAGCCTGTCCAAAAGGAATTTAACTGATAGCTTTCAGGCAGCTATTTCTAACAGGTTCCAAGCAGTCACTTGAAGAATTAAGGGACTGTTCTCTACTTGTCAGAGGACAGGGGTGGCTGAGTGCGACATAATTTTTTTAATCCTCCTGGAAGCTACAAATATTTTTTCTTGAGCTTCCCTGAGTGGGTTTGTAGCATTACCACACTGGGGTACGCATGCGGTGCACCAAGTAGGTGGAACCTGTACACTATTTGACAGTATCGTCAAAGACGGTGGATAAACCATCCTGAGTCCATTGACTTCAGTGGGAGAAATGAACGTGATTACAGATTATGGCCGATTCTTTCGCCCCATAGTAATGGAAGCAAATATTGGACCCATTTATCACAAGCCACATATCTTCAGAACATTCTGACACCAAAATGGCAAATTTCAGACGGACAAATCAGGAGAAAATTTACTTTGTTCAAGACCTGTCTCTGTCTCAACAACACACTCTCTGGAGATCTGGCAACAGATATCTCCTCTCTGGTGCTGAAATCTGTGCAGTTTCACCAAAGATACTGGATTAAAAAAATATTTTTTCCAGCGGATATCTTAGTTACAACATGACTGAGCTAGCAAAGCAGTTTTGTGTTGCTATGTGTGGTATTTATTCAGTTTTGTCTAGAAAGCATCAGTGGCTGCAGCTGACAGGGACAGCTAACAGCAGCTGCAAAGCTAACATCAGGACGTCATCTGTTAAAAGCCTCCCATTGTTGGATATGACATGAAACTACTCCAGTTAGCTCAATCATATTGTAACTAAGACATCTGCTGGAAATTTTTTTTTTTTTCACAAACCGCTTATTTATTTAGCTCACAGCCAGTAAGGTTACACACATATTGACAGAAGCGAGGTTGGGGATACTCGTCTTTGATTGGGGTACGGGGGACAATGCCTACTTAGGAGACCGGAAATGTATACCATTTCATACAATGGGAGTATATTGTAGGTGGGCCATCTTGTAGTAATCCAGTATCGTCACTGGCAGCAGCATATACGTCACTACAACCACATGGCTCATACAAACCCAAACAAATTAAGGAAGATTGGTACGACTTACTGTGAACATTACTGTCCATGTAGGCAATTATTTGTCAACTAGGAAAGCTACCATGGATTTTGCCCTCTTGGTCGACATTGTTTGTTTTGTCAGCTGGCAATTATATGGTTGCTGCCCCTGGCTGACAATAACACTCCATTAAAACAGCTTTTCCCTGCACTGAAATGGAGCGGACTCTTTGACCAGCTGAAAACGCATGACCCTCTCTCCACCAAAAATCAGTTATTAGATTTTTAAAACATATATCTTTGATGCTTGAAAGTAAAAAGTTGAAAATTGCAGACAAAATCCTGGAATGAAAAAAATTAATATATTTTTTTTCACCCTTGTCGTGCATGCTGATTAGTTAGTGCAAATGGTTTATTTGTGGACAAATTTTAAATGAGACATAAGTCTGACATAAGTATTCATTGCACATGATGTCTCAATAATTTCTGTTTTTACAGTTACTGGCTATGGTAATTTGTGTAATTTTGGCAATTTTTGAAGAAATAAAAGGGATTTTTTTTAATTGGTAGCAAAATAAATATAAAATACAACCATTTTAATTAGTATGCCCCTCCTGTAAGCCAAAATAAAACACACAAGTCTTTCCCTGATGCTTAAAAAAATTATTTGACATGCCTCCTCCTTTTTGCACCTCTTCCTCTTTGCACCTCTTCCTCCACCCTAATAAGTAACGAACAGTCCCTTACTTGAAGAACAATGGACTGTAAGCAGTAACCACAGGTGTATCAGGACAGTATTTAGACACTCATTTGGAACCTTGACAGGATGCAGCACTGATTAAAATTTTAAAATTGCTTATGTAACAATTAGATGGGTACAAGCATTGCCACGGGGGAGAGGCAGAGGGGGGTGAGGGCCTTTGAGTTACGCAATGATGTCATTTAATGGCTCCCTGAGGATACCACGCATATGCTCAGCATGTTATGTATTATTAAAAACTCTGACCTTTTTATTAATTAACCGCTTATTCTGCCCTACTTTTTACAGCAGCTTCAACCCGACTGCTCTTATATGGGGCACAGGTGGACTGCTCTGACATCATTTCAACTTTTTAAATATATGAATGACAATAACAAGCACATACCTGCGTGTAGTGAAGCTCCTGAGCTCTGGTGGAGACAGCAGCAAGCTTCAGACTGATTAACACTAATTAACAGGAGTCACGTGACCCCATCCCTAGCGTCAAAGAAAGCACCTGGTATTTCTAGACCAAAACCGTATAAACATCTCAATCAAAAGATGGATTATAAATGTGCAAAACTTTGTGTGATTTCTGTCATTTTTGTCGTCATGGCTCAACACAGCTGGAGCTTCTCGACCGTCCAGGTGAGGAAAACACCTGAGCAGCTCGTCCTGCCGAGAGTCACCTGCTCTGCTGGAAGACTGAAAGCTGTTTTTGGTCCGCTGGTCAAAAGCAATATTCACGTTAAAGGTGAGATAATAATATTTCCAACTTCTGAGATGAGATGGCAAATATGGTTGGAAATGGTTTCAGTAAAAAGAGTTCTCTCAGTCGTTTGATTTTAAAATAAGCTCTCAATATTTGCATGAAATGAGTATGCATGCTTCCCTGTGTTTTTTAGACACATCAGGGGCCATCATCCCTGTGCCTCAGTCTGAGGAGTCCTGTGGAGTGAGGCTGGGCAGAGAGAAAAAACAGAGCCTCTCCCTCTTCAGCAGATATGACAGCTGCTATGCACAGATTGAGGTAAAAATAAGGAACTGTGTGAAAGTTACTGGAGGGCAGAGGGAGCTCTCCCTGACCATTGGCGCCCCTGGCAATTTTTCAGCGAGGTGGCCAGATGGGGCCACGGAAAATGTTTGGGTTGCACACCAAAACCAAAGGCCATAACTTATTTTTAGGATTTCACTCAGGCTGTGGAAGTACATAGACCACTTAAAAATTATGTCAATATGAGTGTTAAAGTTATACTGATATACTTAGTATAGTATAGTATAGTATATCAGTATAACAATAATATGACTAATTATCTGATGTGCATAGACTAATAGTCCAGTTTTAATGTGTTATATATCTGTATGTTAGATGATGCATTATTCTTTCATGCTGGTTGTCTTTTCCCTAAAAAGACAAACATACAGCTTTAATTTGAAGGAAAACCCCGATTGTAAGAACTAAAACATTTACTGGGAACAAGCCTTCTCAAGTTTAGAGGAGACTCAGGGACCCATGGAATCCATTTTTATTCAGATATCTTGAGGTCAGAGTTGAAGGGACCCCTCTGGAAATGCCCATGCCCGTTGTTCCTTCACCGGAGCGTTATTTAGCCCCCCTCTTGGCAAGCCAATATAACATAATTGGTACCAATGGACGCCGTATCTTTTCTAGTTTCAGAAGACATCACTGTCTTGGTGCAAGCTTAAAAAATGAGTGCACCACAGCCTTTTGAAGTAATATTGGCCTCTGATTATTTTCCATGTGGGCGCCACTGTCCTTGACCAAGAGAAAAATTGTAACACCTTCACCACAATACCTGCAAATCATGCAACATTATTGATTGGTACAAAAAGTGAAACCTTTATGGAAAGAGAAAGAAGTTTTCAGCCCCAAACTCAATGTGAAAATGCACCCCGTTTTCTTGAGAAGTATACAGAAGGTGAATATACACATGTAAATGTGTGTAAAGGTGTGTATGGCTTCTTAACGTCTCCACTGCAATGACCTTTGATCCTCAGGGCAGCAAAGTGATCATCCCTCTGCAGGTACAGCTGACAGGAGAGGATCGATGGTTCAGGGTAAACATCAGCTGTCCTCTGATAAAGAGGCACAGCGAGAGGACCAGTGTTATCCCCACACGTGAGTGGAAACAGCCGATGAGCTTTTCAATTGACGGAAACTGATGAAAGTTAGAGCTGACCTCAGATATTAAAGACATAACTGTGTCAATGAGCTTGTTAAAGGGTTAAACTGAATAATCTTCATACACAGAAATAATGCCACGGTAAATGATGTTTACACTACAGAGAGGGTTATGGCATGACACAATTTACTGGTCAAGTTTATGACACTAAAATCACAGCTCTTCTCCAGCATTACCTGGAAACTGTGACACAGAAAAAGCTCTACGAGTGGACTGTGGCCACCAAAGCATTTCTAGAGATGCCTGCTACAAACTGGGATGCTGCTATGATGCTCATGATTTAACCTGCTACTACAGACTCAATGGTAAGACTGGCATATGTCTTAGCCATGTAAAGTACTGTTTATTTCAATTTCAATTATTTATCTCCAACATTTCCTCCAAATAAGAACATATGGTGTTTAAGTGTAACAAAGCCTACATGTTCCTGTGTTGACTATCCTCCCAGTGTGCTCTCTGGATGGACACTTTGTGTTCTCAGTAAAGACCACAGACACTGACACACCCATTGAACCCAGCAGCCTCATTGTCAAGGACCAACCACAGTGTTTTCCTGTGGTCACAACCGCAGACACGGCTGTCTTCAAGATTGGAGTCACGGACTGTGGTGCAAAAGTGAAGGTAATGCTGCTTGACAAGAGTTTGATTCCAACAAAAGACATCTAGTACTTGGATAAAAACATAATCAGTTATAAGCTGGGGTAGACAGTTTCAATTTGGCATACAGCATTGGCAACAACTGCCAACACTGCTTAGCAACCCAATAAAGGAAGATGGACTTATCAAAGTCTGTCAGTAAACAAAGTAAAACATGTTTCAGCATCAGTGACAGAGATAATGGCGCTTACAGTTTAGCCTTCTGCTAACCGTAGCCAAAGGTTCGCGAACGCAGCTTCGAGTTGTGTTTATGTTGCTAACATTAGCTAGACTCTTGAATCACAGTGTGTCCTCTGACTCGATCCCCAACACTACAGACCACCTTGCTGGGAGGAGAGCGGGCAGCAGCTCTGAAAACTGACCCCAAGTCAGCAGTTGCAGCAACCTGAACTCAGTCAGGGGGACAAGGCAGCCCCAACACCTAGCCAGATCAGCAAACTTTCTGTTGCTGCTGTTACACAGGTTAGACCCAGCGCTGCCAGTGGTAACCAGCCCACCACGAAACCCGGCCTAGGGGTTTGCCATGGACAAATTCAAGCTGTAACAGCCATCAACCAACAGTTCATCTCCTGAGCTGCTGCCCACTCTCCTCCCACAAAAGATGTCTTTAGTGGCAGGGAGCAAGGCCAGATGCTGTTCCTCTGTTCCACTTCAAATTATGTCACACATCATGAAAGCTTTCTAAATTGCATATGATTTAATTCATATATACTTGCTTGATATGCAAACCTTTCCTCTCTACTCGGCTTTTAGGTAGATGGAGATATGAAGATCTATGAGGTGGAAGTGGAGGAGCTGTACACCAAAAGTATAACCAAACATTCTCCATTTAGGTGAGCTGATGGCTTTAACATAAAAATGATGTATGTCACAGTTATTCTGGTGGTGACAAATGTACTGATAGTATGAGCTTTTAGTCTCCAGGTCCAGTGTGAATATGCAGCATCAGATATGAAGCGTGCAGCAGACTTTCGGTCCTTGTACGCAGTGACCAACCCACCACCTGTGGTTGGACTGGGAACCATCAGAGTGCAGATGAGAATAGCCAGAGGTATTAACAATGGAGAGCAGTATGACTGTGTTTTGCAGTATGGAATTACTCACTGAATAGAGAAGTCCTCAGAACTAAACCTTAGTGACTGCGTTTGTGATTATTTGTTCCCCTAGATGCATCCTTCACATCCTTCTTTCCTGAGGACGAGCTTCCGGTGAAATTGCCCCTACGCAAAGCTGCATATGTTGAGATTTCCATCGCTCGGCCGTCCCTAGACCCCACACTTTCCCTGCGTGTACGGGATTGCTTTGCCTACCCTGCGTCTAGACACTCTGTGTGGACGCTTCTCTATGACGGGTAAGGTCGAGGCAATTACAGCAACAGTCCGAGATGAGATGTTGATAGTAAGTGCAGTTGATATTTGTTTCTCCTCATGGATAGATGTCCTAACCCTGTGGATAACATGAGGAGCTCTGTCCCTGTGAGCAACAAGATGAAGACATCCTCCCACTCCCAAGTCAGGAGGTTTGATGTCAAGACCTTTGCCTTCCTGGACCCTCAAACAGGCCAACCAAGTGTGGAGGAGGTAAGGTTATCACGTCCACATATTTCAATAATGTAAAAATGTGTATCTAAGCAAACGTGCAAACATCTCTCACTTAGATGTACTTCTACTGTTGGGTGGAAATTTGCACAGATGACATTGACTGCACACAGCGTTGTGCCATCATTTGTGAGTATATTACAGCATGTTTTTCTTCTACTGTATGTGCTGTGAATATGTGGTAAACTCTTGCCTCCCTTACCACAGCATCTGAGGGTGAGAGACAGAGAAGACAGACGATGTCGGAGTCCAACCAGGGCCAGCTGGTCTCTTTAGGACCACTGCTTCTGGGACAGAACAGCACTGAACAGGAGGACAATCCATGTGTGAAAGAGAAGATGAGTAAGTCCTGCTCAGCACAAGACTGTATGATGTGATGGACCAATGGCAATACTTGAATTACAGAGTTTCATTTTGGCACCATTGGGCAAAAATCTCATGATGAACTTTGAGGATAGTGTAATTCAAGTGGAAAACTAGACCTCTGCACCTCCTCTTGGCTCTGTTTTCAGGCTTTAGAAAACCTAGCCCGGTGTGGCAGACTTTGGCCAATTTTTAGAGGCTGTTCTACAAATACACATGCACACCCCTTCAGTGAAAATCTGATTCAGTGGCAGAGAATCCAACAGAAATGTTGCTATTCCAGCATTGGCAACAACTGCCTGCACTGCAAAGCAACCCCAAAAAGGGAAACAAACTTATCAAAAAGAAAATCTGACAGTAAATAAGACAAGACACCTGTCAATATAGGTAAAGTACTTCAGAGATGGAGAGAAAATGTCCTTTATAGTTCAGCCTTCTGCTAACTTGAGCCAAAGGCTCACGGCTGCAGCATCAAGCTCATGTTTATGTAGCTAACATTAGCTAAAGCCTCGAATCACAGTGAGTCCGCCGTCTCACCCCCGGCCGTTAGAGACCACCTTGCAGGGAGGAGAGCAGGCAGCAGCTCCAGAGTAACTGCAGCAACTCAAATCCAGCCAGCACAAACCCCAGCTCCAGGAGACCTGACAGTCCCAACTCATTGGATCTGGAACTTTATGTTGCTGCCATTACAAAGGTTAGACCCAGCGCTGCCACTGGCCACCAGCCCGCTGTGACACCCAGCTCTGGGGGATTTGTGCTGGCTGAATGAGCCACTATAGACTGCAACCAAAGGTCCATCTCCAGAGCTGCTGCCTGCTCTCCTCCCAGCGAAGCAGTCCACAGTGGCAGTGAGTGAGGCGGAGGGACAGAGGGGTGGCTAGTTACCTAACTGTTGTCTCATTTGTGGTCTAATAAACGGCGAGAGGGCGATGCAAAGAAGGAATCCGCAATGAAATAAGGTTAAATAAATCAACATATGGGAAACGCTGGGGAACTGTATGAATGTCGCACATATGACTGTGGCCAACTAGTGAAAGGGGCTTAGGTCAGAGGAGAGAGCTGCAGGAGGAGGGTGTGTTTTTCTGCCTTTCCAGATTTTTGCCTACCCCAGCTTTTAAATTATTGTCTCTGTTCGTCAGTGTTTCAGGTGACGGTGTATATTCTGTCTGGCGTTGGTGCTGCCCTGCTGCTCATCCTGATGATCATGGTGTGGTCACGCATCAGAAAGCGGCAGAAGCCAGAAGCACAGCAAGTTAAAGTTGACAATGAACAATCTCAATAAAACATTAATTTCATAGAATTCAAAGCTGTAGTCATTCACTCTGGCTGCTTTCATTTTTGTTAACAACCCGCACACACAGGTTTCCAAAGCTAGTTTTTACATAATACTTTAATTCTAATTTTATTAAAACAGGCACTTGTACTTGATCCTGTATGACACCTTTAATTAAACTTTCTTCTACAAACAAGGATTTCCAGATGTCATGATGCGCTTGTAATTCAATAATTGTGATAATAGGTCTGTTAGAATAATAGTTTATTAACACAAAAAAGCTCAGGGTTATAATGTAGTTAAGACTTACAAAAGCAGTTAAATGAGGAGAGAAAAATCAGGGTGGTTGACTCAGTAAGGTTTGAACTTTCTTTGTGCCCTCAGCAGAGCTATTCTCTGTTTATCCTCTTCAAACTTTTTCCTTAGTTCAGCAATATCTGAAAAGAAAGAAACAGCATAGTTAGCAATAACATAGCTTAGTGTCTCTGTCTCTTTCACACTACATCAAGAACAAATCTATCCTGCAGATGAAGAACAAACTAAATCAGCAGCTTACGTTCTTTCTGTGTGTTCCTGTGCTGCCAGGTGTAGAAGTTCATGAGCTCCTTCCTCTTCTTCTTCCTGATCTCCTTCTGTAGAGTCCTCTTGTTGGCTGCCTCACTGTGAGGCCGGGCCTTGGTGCCCTTGGGTCCTCTTGTGACTTTCACCCAGCCCTCTTCATCCTCTTGTTGCTGCTCGGCCTCCTTCCTCTGCCTCTCCGCTTCCTGCAACAAAGAAAACATGCTGAAGTCGCATGGACTAAAAAGGAGCGTGTGATGCTGAAGGAAGAGTTGCAGAATTCTCACCTCCTCTTTTCGCTTGTCGTAGTCTTCCATAAAGGAGTCGACGATTTGTTGCAGTTTGTCCGTTTGAATGAAAGAGCTGGTGTACTGCTGAATCCATTCTGGCATAAGAAAGTGCAGCAAATAACATGAGTGGGTCATAAGGCTGATTTGTTCTGAGTGTGTAACAGTTTGTAAAAGAGTAGGTAAAGTAAATACCATCATGCTGTCACTTTACATTGATGTACTTTACTTAAAGGAACAGTGTGTAAGATTTAGGGGGGTTTAGTGGCATCTAGTGGTGAGAACTGCAGATTGCAACAAGCTGAAAGTGGTTAGAATTCCTTCACGGTTCATTGTTAAGCAGGTTTTCAGCCAGGAGGTTTCATCATCTCCAAATCAAATGTAACTGGTGATTTAAACCCGCTAAAACACTAAATAAAGCAGTTTCATGATTAAAAATCTGTGTTTTTCCAACACTTTCATCACGGAGGGGCTGCTAACTATGGTGGCTGATGCTGAAATGCAAATGGCCCACAATGATTCTTATTTTCAGGTGACTATACACTAAAGAAAACATACTAATACTGTATTCCATTCTGCAATTGCAATACTGTACACAAATTTCGATTTATATTCTATTAATGTTTGTTTTTACTTTCCTCATTAGTGGTGTGATTTTCCCTTTTTCATGTTAGACATTTAGTGTGCATTGAGGCCTCAGATTTTCATTGCCAAGGACTGCTTTTATATACAGTATCTTTATTAAACCAGGGAAAAATATCATTGAGATTTAAAATCTCATTTTCAAGAGCACCCTGGCCAAGAGGGCAGCATAAATATCCCTCTTGATCAGCTTCTCTGTAACTGTTGGGCATATGAAAAGAATGAAGAGCTTGATAACGTGTGTGATCAACAAAGACCTGACTCAACTCAAACTGTAATACTAGAATTAGGAATGCACCGATCCGATATCTGGATCGAATATCGGCCCCGATATCATCAAAATAGATGAATCGGGTATGGGAAAATGCAACCTATACCTGAGGCGATCCTTTCCCTTTAAATCTATTGTGACGCGAGCTACGTCATACGTCAACTCTAAACTGAAAAAGCTGGATCGGTGCATCTCTAACTAGAATCATATTTGAAATCAAACCAACACAAAACAACCACCGAATGAAATGAGAAATATTCAACCTTGCATTAATAGAAATGAATGCATCACTGTAGCATCACTCACTCTGCGAGCCTGTCCTCACTGGATGCTTCTCTGTGCAGACCACCAAAGGCACATCATGTGGGTGTGATTTAACTGCTGCTACACTGGAGGAGTTTTGGAACACGATGTAGCCAACTTTGAAACACTGGAAGATACAGACAGAAACACAAGATGTAAAACCAGAAATATACTGCACATAATAAGTATAGTATGGTATTACAGTAGAGAGAAATCAGCAGCAGCAGCGCAGGCCAACCTGTTTTTCGACTGGTTTAAAGAACCTGGACAGCTTGGGTCCAGACTCCTGAGATGAACCCGGGTGGTCTCGGAGCTCCACAGACTCAACATAGCCGAACTGTGAAAACAGCTCTTTGACAACAGCCTGCAACACAAACAGCAGAGAGGAAATGACAGTTGTCTGTATTTCTATAATAAAAGATAACAACTCACTGCGTTAGCAACTGATTGAGTAACAGATACATAAAGTGTAGGCTAAGATGGGGGAAGATGCCCCTTAACAACAAAGTCAATTTAGTGTATAATTAAAAAATATTTGGATATAATTTTAACATGTGCCAGATGATGATGCATAAACACACACTGATGCCTCATGACCAGGGCCGAGATGCCCCAGTGCTACAAAATGAACTATCTCACAAAATAAAACAAACTAATCTCCCAACACTGACCCATTAATAGATTATCTAGAGGCCTTGTAGACTTTCCTTCAGGTTAACTGTTATCATTTCAAGATGTCTTCCGCCAGTAAGCTTGATTTGATTTGATCTGATTTTTATTTGTCTCAAACAAGCACAAGCATTAAAAAACAGGCAGTATATGTAATAGAAAAAAAATGGCACACTGTGATAACGTGCAAGTTCGAGAAGGGGCTGAAGGAAGCAAAGCTTATCATGTTCAGCCCCCCCCTTACATTGTCATATAAGCACATACATAATCGATAAATCTGTAAAAGCTTGCTAAAATGTTGGCTAATACTAGATAGCTAGCAATGCTAGAACCTAAAATTGCTGTCACTACACAGAATAGAGCTATACAATATTTTCCGGGGGTTAATGGGTTTGCTCCTGTCCCAGCAATTAAGAAAAGGCTGTTACAGAAATTGAAAGAGAAATGGTTTCTAAAACATTCTGTCAATGCCCAAATTAAGGACGTGTGTACTTAAAACAGAAGTTTGGCGCGGAACCATATGTAACATCCTATTCATCTAGAGGACAAAGATCTTTGGTTGCACAGCAGAGAGCTGGATTATTCTTCTGGCCATTGAGACCGGGCGATTCCACAATATTCAGGAGGAAAACAGAATATGTGAGCTGTGTGATTTGGGTAAAGTGGAAAGAGAGTCTCATTTTCTTTTGTATTGCCCACACTATGATGACTTAAGAGCACGTATGTTCCATTAAATGGCTCGTCTAAACCCTGACATTTTTTGGTGCTCAGATGACCAAAAGCTAGAATGGTTGATTTATTTTGATAAGTTTGCCAGTTTTGTTGCTACAGCCTGGAAGAGAAGGCAAGAATGTTTGTTTAATTAGATTTTATTTTTGAACTCTTCCTTTTAATTTTACGTGACAAAAGCCTTTGGGAATGATTCATGATCTCGGTCTTCCAAATTGATGATCTGATTGTATGTGATGCTTTAATTGTTTTACTGCTTTGTTTCATTTTCTTTCCTTTAAATGAATTTATGTTTGCTGGACTCTGTATCCGGCTGCTCTGATTACAAGCCGGGCATAACTGACTGCATGACACGATAATAATGTTTTATAGATAACGATGCTTTTGATATCTGGCTAACTAACTAATCACACTAACAAGCTTTTTAAAGTTTTAGCTTAAAACTACAATACTATACTACGACTATATGTAGATATGACCTATATAAAGTCACATCTGACTCCATACTAGTTAATCTAACTAAATAAGAATGCCCCCAGAGGTTTTTGGTTTTTATGTACAACTTCATATAAATATACAGATCACTATTTACCAGTGACAAAAACATTAGATACCTTTACCCTAAAACAGTTTTGGTGGAATAAATCTCAAGAGTGCAGCAATTCAGATGAAATGTCACCATTCACCACAGAGCCATTAAATACACGTGTTGACAGTAGACTTAGCACCATATACGTGGTAAGAGAGGAATTAAGGGGTAGGTGGCATCTCACCCCATCTGACCCTAACCTGTGAGCAGTACGGGGGGATGTTGAGCACAAATAAAGTCCGGTCCAGTGGTCTGTGTGAACTCTTCTCTGCTCGGACTTTGTGCTCCTTCACAAATAGCTGGTGCTGAACAGCACTGTCGGGACTGAACTGTAAGGACAGCACTGCGGAGAGAGTCAGGAGAAGACGAATAAACCTAAAGCCAACACATCACTCTGTACAGTAGACAGACAGACAGAGCTGTACCGTTCAATAAATAACCAAACCGTGTAAAATAACAACGTAAAGTTCTGTTCTTGGATATATCAATAAACTAGCAAAAAAACTGAGATGAATCATATTAATTTTGTAAACAAATACCTGCGAATCCTCCAGGAATAATACAAGCCTTGTTACTGGCATGTTTCTTCTTGGACGGCGCCATTTTGAAGTGACCTATTACACCGGAAGTAGAACTAAAACCACGGTAAGGAAATATATTTCGATTTTTTAAAATATATAAATTAACATCAAAATTTAAACGCAATCACTATGTACCCTGTTAAATTTAATAAATAATTTGATTGTTTAAATTACTTATATTTAACTAACGTAACTTATTACATTTGATTACTTTTGGATTACTTTACTAACAAACGTGGCAATAAAACTGAAAAATGTCCGAAAATTAGGCTATGCCAAAAGTTGGTATTCCAGCACGGTGAGCAAATGCAAAGGAACAAATTAAATGTTAAATTCTACATTAATTTCTTTTAACTGAAAATAATACATTTGGATGTATTACCCTCTGGTAATCACAAGCATTTTAATTAGTAACTGTAATTTAATAACATATTTTTTGTCAGTAACTGATCACATTTATTTTATTTTGTAATGTAATTAAATGTAACAGTAACCATTGATAGATTTCAAGAAGTTCCAAATCTAAAAATTTTGCCATTTCCCCACACATTTCAAATACTAGAGTTTTCTTATAATATTAATTTTAGTTTATCCAACAGAGTCCAAACACACTAGTAATATGTAATCATTTTCAGCACAACAAAATAAAATTTGTACCAAAAAACTGCATCTAAAATTACATGATGAACAACTTTGTTAATTGTTTAAAGGTATTTTGTTGTTTTTTCTTTTTCTTGGTTCGTTTTTTTGTGCTGTCAGGCTGGTTTAGTTGGTTTTTATTTATCGTGTATGTACATATATGGTTTATATAAAAACATGTTGTATTGTTGATCCTAATGTGGTATTTTTATATTTTTGCCAAACAATTTACACGTGCAATGATCCTGTAAATTTTGTACTTGAGAACCCAATTAAAAAAGTGGTTGGAACAATAAAATAAATATTAAAATCATTTAATATTCCAGCTTAAAACAAATTTCTAAGACTTTTTGCTGTTGGATTTTAGTTGTAACTGTATAACATATGTGGAGTTTCATGTCCAAGAGAAAAGGGCATTCCTCTGTAGCTCACAATCTAAATTTGAAATAGTAAGGTAACGTTAATTACCAACCTCAGGCTTCTGAAAATTGGAAAAACTGACAGCACTTAAGAAAATATGTAATTTCATTACTGGTCTGAAGTTTTTATAAAGACCCTCAAGCTGTATGTCAGTACAGCATTTAGGCAGATCTCTGTTAAAATGCATCATCACATGGCAGGCAGGAAAGACGAGTCTCAGACTACAAAGCTAAATATTTAATGGCGACATTTCACAGACAGATCTGACCTCTCTAGTCTCTTGACTGACATACCAAGAAAGCAACAGAAAGTAATTTACAGTCTTTGAACAAAAATCAAATATAATGTATACTAGGAAGAATTAAACATACACTGCTTCAAAACCGAGTAAAACCAGTCACAAGTAGAGCACAGAAGAATCTGGATGCCACAAGGATGGTGAAAACAAAAACACAACATATGACTGTCTGAAAACTGGTTTACTGAAATGATGGTTATAGTTTGTCTGAACATCCCTGATTTACTCACAAGTGTTTCAGTCATTTTACATGTTAAAGGTCGAGCTGTGGCAATGATTTACTGAACATAGTTTCGTTGTCCTGCCTAATCAGATAGATATAGTATCTACTGTTCTTCTTCTACTGTATTCTGTTTTATTTCTATGGTCTGTTTGCACCAGAGAAAATCTAACAAGAGGTACAGACAATAAAACTGAATACAAATGTGTGGATGTATGGGTATTAAACAAAATAATTCTCTCCATCGTGACAATGCTGCTCAGTGTCTGATAATTTGATTTTTTTAATCTCCTTTTTTTCTAGTTTCTCTTCTTTTGTAGGACTCGGGTGAGTATTAAAAAAACAACATATTCAAATGGGCTGGTGTTGAATTAATGAAAAATTTAAAAAAAATCCCTACACATCCTGTTTGATTTGGCATCCCCCACCACATTGGATTAAAACAACTTATCACCTCACACTTCCCTCCACTGGTCCATCTCAGAGACAAACGGGTGATATTTGGACAGCACAAAACCAAAAACAAGATTTTGCGTGTCCATGAATTTCCCGTTTGGAGAAGTCAGGTATATCAAATGTGTAAAAATCAGTTTCATATGAGAGAATGAGGAACACTGAGAATGCAGTAATATGTTTATGAACAGAGACAGTGTATTCACATGAGACATGAGCTATATCTTGATGCGGAAGGCGGTGGCCTGTGAGCTGGGGGGCTCAGTGGTGGAGGTGGACTGTGCGGTGGACTTGAACAGAGCTTTGAGGATGGTCTGGGGGTCCACCTCTGGAGTGGGCTGAGAGGAAGCTCTCTGACCGACAGGGCGTGACAAGGAGGGAGGCAGACCGTCTTTCTTGGTACTGCTGCCTGCGCCGGGAGTGTCACTGAGCCTCCTGCAGGAGTCAGGAAGAGAATGACACGAGATCACAATAGGCATAAAACAATTAACAGGGTCCTACCTGTCTTAGTCCAAAAAAACATAACTTCTGCACATTATATTCTGAGTTATAGTTGTCACGTATTCTTTACTCTAGTGGATAGCGCAAGCAACAAACACAGCAACAGCCAATGGCATACACTTCCTTTAAGAAGTATTTCACTGCTGGAAAGATGGTCTTTAATAAAACGAGGTTGTTTATTCTGTACAAAGAGGCAAATACTTTTGAAATTGGTGCTATATGATCAGAGAAAAAGGACACTTTTTCTCAAGTGGGAGAAAACCTACAACTACAAGAATGCACTGCAGTGCACCAGACCAATATGTGACTCCTGCTGGTGGGTGACTCGATGTTAACGCTTCATTTGAAACAACAGCAGCCAGCTGGTAACAAATGATGTCATATTACAGTTAAACAGTGAGCTAAAATATTTTTCTGTAAATATTTGAGGTAGGAAATGGACAACTCAGTTTTAGAATACTGGTCTATATTTGATCAGCGCTGCCTAGTTTTACATCCTCCATTGTCACTGAGCAGGAAACAGTATGGCGCCCACTTCCTGTTCACAAACTCTCGCTATTACAGCTAAACATGGCACTAAAATATGTCTCTAAAAACACTGCAGGTGAGAAACAAGTAATACAGTGACATAATCTTGATATATTCGATCGCATTGCCATTTTCACAGTTTGATTGGATCTCGTTCCAAGTTTGAGACTCTGACCGCATTTATTAACTTTAATCAATTCATTTTTTGTAAATATTTTTGAATATTCTTCCCCATACCACTAGAGAGAGCTTGCGTAACACAGGTGGTACACGTACCATACTTGTAGAACCAGTGACGTAGACTGAATAATCCATCCACAAAATGTGTTATCTGAGTAACTGCTTCATCAAAGGCAGCTCAGTGTACCACTAAACAGCTGACCAAACATACAAATGCTTATTCAAATAAGGCAGTTAACAAAAGGAAGCCTGGATAGCCAACTGAATAGATGCAATGTCTCTATTCTTTATACTGAAAGGAAATAAAAAGGTTGACACGAACTTCAACTCTGTGTGGTGCCAAATTACACCTCAGAGGACATAAACAAAATTAAGTGTGTGGATATAAACAGTCAACTGCTACAGATTAATTAGAGACAAAAAGGGCACTTGGAAAGCGCAGACCTCTGCCAAGGCCTAATGTGTTTTCTCACAATGTTAATAAAAATCAAAAAGTGATTAGTGTATAAAAACTGTGTTCAAAACCTCTCCACGACTTTTCACAATTTTTCACCAAATGTCTGTGACTTTATTCAAGTAGTTTAAAATGGGTAGGGCCTGTATAGCGATCATAGGGTGCAATAATGTGGCTCCTAACCAGTGAGCAAAGAGACACGCTGCAGCAAAAATGTAGCATGGGATATGGAATTCAATGCCTTTGTGACTGCACATACAGTCAACACAGAGCGGTAGCGTTATCTGGCCTGGCTATGGCATGCGTAGAAAATGCGCTGATGCTGGCAATATGTTGAGCGACCTTTTGGTTGTCTTGTTTTTTTGGCCTTTAGCATAAGGCATTTGTGGATAAGCAAACGGCTTTAGTAGTTTTCTTGTTGGCGGGAATGTTAGACAGTCCCATCTGGGAAATGGCTTTTCTAATTTTGTATTTTTTTCCAGGAATTTCATGACTGTGAGACCCCCCACTTGGCTACACCTTTCCACCAAGTTTTATGAAAATTGTGCCAGTAGTTTTTCCCATAATCCTGCTGACAGACAGACAAACCAGCAAACAAACAAACAAACATGACCTCCTTGATGGAGGTAAAGAAGGAATGAAGCCCTGCAGGCTCACTTACAATAGAATGGGCTGATCGGAAGTGATGACATTTCCCTGAATATGAAGGTTACACTTCATGGGTTGGCCTGGAGGAGGAAAAGAGGAAAGGATTTTAAAAAATAAATAAACACAAGTGAATGAAAGTCTTTCAATCTGGCTATTGACAGTTTAAGTGATGTTAAATTCATCAAACTTGGCTATCCTTTAGTTCAACAACAGCACTTTGTTTTAACAGACATCTACAGTGATGTTCCTAACCAGCAAACTCAGTACTGTAGTCACTGTCCTGCTTGCAAAACTGAAGCTAGTGCCTAAAAAACAGAGAACCATTTGATGTGTGTGTCCTTGCCACTGGGACTTACCGTCCAGGCAGCGGTTGTTGTACTTCCTGTATGCGCTCACGGCGTCTTCTTTACGCACAAACACCACTTCAGCCACACCCACCTTCACCAGTCGTGCTCGCTTCAAGGCCCCGCACACACAGAACAGTTCCTATGGACAAACAGATATAAAGTACAAACACACAGGATGAGTCATCATAGCGCTACAGCAGGCAGCACATCACTAAAGAGCAAACATTACAAAAGGTTATTGGCATCAGTGTAATTTACTCACAACTATGTCTTCCTCTGTGACCCGGGGGTGCAGGTTGTTCACTGTTATTTTTGTCCCCTCCAACGGACTGAAAGCAGGCTAGAAAAAAATAGGACAATGCCACATGATCAAGCATATGCAATCAAAATGGCTAACATAACAAAGCATGATGGTTATGCTAACGTGCCAAATGTCTCAGCTTGTATTCAGTTTTCCCATCGTAACAGTTACAGCTATTTAAGTATTGACGCCACAATGAAGCGGTCAGCTCATGAAATCATTTTGTTTATTTTCATTTCAAGCCACTGCAGTGACTATGTGTCGGAAAGCCTTGGAAGCACCAACATTTTTACCGAACAGATGTCAGGCTAATCGCATTAAATCCTACATTCAATTACTGGGGTAAACCCCAAATACTGACAGGAGATCAGCAGATCCAGGTCAGCTATTTTACTGAAAGAGGGTAAGGGAGGAGGAAAGCATGATGGGAGTAAACGAAAACCTGTTCCTGGACTCATTCCTGGCAGACTCTATATTTAGCTGATTTTGTGAAAAAGTCCAAGAGATTTCAGACGAGTTCTTCTTGAACAAGACTCGGTTACACACACACACACTAAAAAAAAGATCGGATCAGCAGAAGACACTTAAAATAACAATCTAAACCTGTCAGTAGCAAAAACAAGCACTTTTAGTGAACATAAATTGATGGTGCCCTGTTGCCCGTAAGGATTACATTGCAGCCTGTTTTGCTGCAGTGGCTCTCTCAGTACTAGACTAGTCTGTCTCCGTTAGTCACTTAGATAAAAAAAAAGTAGGGTCCAGGTTGAAAAATACAAACGTTTCCCTTTAAGAGCTTTTCCACACAATGTTGGCAACACCAATGCAAAATACACAAGCTACTAAGGCAGAGAATGTGTGCACACTGAGATGCACGCAGGAATGTTTACCTGAGGGGGAGCAGGAGCTGCTGTGCTGGTTTCCGCTGTGCTCTGCTGGAGAGTCCTGGAGACTGGTTGTAAGGCTGCAGCTGAGGGCCGGGTGGAAGCCATGCTGGGGTTAGGCCGGGTGGGAGCCACAGGGACAGGAGGACGTGGGGCTGTGTAAGCATCATTTTTAACCACCTTGGTGATTGGAGCCGACATGGAGAATGTAGAGCCCACTGCACCAGGCTGTATGTAACAAAAAAAATGCAAAGTCCAGTCACTGGATTAACAATAATTTAATTATATGTTTGAGTTTCTGTGTGGATTCAGGATTAGATAAGTCAGCTGTCATGAAGCAGCTCTTACCCGTGACTGTAGCATATTATTAGCTGTAGTGATTTTTATTTGTTTACTGTGGGTGCCTTCATGTTCATTTGAGAGAGGCTGTGGGAGAGAAAATATATGATTTTAATACCATGTTTTACAATCTAAGGCATAATACAAGGGACACATTGTGTTCACTTTAAGGAGAATATTTTCATTACTCTCAATCTGTCTTGTTTAAACATGTCAGGAAAAACAGCTTTACCTGTGTAGCTGCACGTATTCCACCCAACATCCCTGCTCCTACTGGACGTTGCTGTAAAGACAAGCATCAAACATTAAAATACAGAAAGCATGGCAATGTACTTTTAGGCTTCAACAAGTATACATACATGCAGGCAATGTCACTGATCTGCTATAAAAAAAAGTAACTTATTTTAACCTCACCTGGATGGTCTTGGTTATTTTTAGGGGTGGTGGTGCAGCAGCTGCCTGTGTCGGTGTCCCTCCAATGCTCCTCTTGAGGCTCAGTCTATCACGAGCATCCATCATTCTCTTATTATTGTTCAGCTGTAGCGTTGTGCCCCTCGCATTCAGTCCTTGTACATTGGGGGCAAACTGCCTCGTGTTCACGCCAGCGAGGTTGTTGTTGGTGTGTATCTGTATCTGCGGCACAAGTGTCTGGCTCTGCAGATGGTGCGTTACCGCCGTGTTTTGTGTGGTCTGTGCAGGGACGCCAAACTGATTCTGCCCCTGTTTGCGTGAGTTGATCATCTGACGAGCATCCTGCACTCCTCCTCCTCCTCCCCTGCCGCGGATTTTGAAGCGAGCATCTTTCTGACCCAGCTTTTCTCTGGCGTCTTTCACTTGAAAACCTGAGGGGAGACAGGAAAAATATTGAGGCAAACTTCATGTTAATCTCCAAAACATAAACACTCATAGTCAGTTTTTTCACTAAATGTAAGTATTAGTTTAGGGAACTTTTTTTTTTTTTGTCAAGGCAGTAATGTTGGCCCTTACCTGCTCCTCCTCCTCCTGCTCCTCCTCCAAGCCGCTGTCTGATATCATTAGCCCCAATCTTCTGCCGGGCATCAAAACTTTTGCCAACCCCTCCTGCACCCCGTCCAAACATGGGCCTGTAAGAAAGAACAGAAGTGCCTTCAAGTTCATCAGTGGTACTGTGTTGTAGAAATTCCTGTAATAAAATAAACACAAAGAAAGCAGTTTTATTTGAGAGTTTATTACAGTTTTCCTATGCACACAGGGGTCATGCCTTCACAAGACAAAGACCGTCGAATAAGTTACTTTCAAACGTTATGCAAAAATTCTCCTGACAGAAAAAAATAAACAGAAATCCTGTCTGCCTAACAGTACAGGCATTCATAACAACTTATACTTAGCTGTCTTATCTTATCTTATCATTCCCCCAGACACAGAGTCTTTTTATTAGGGAGAAGAAGCTTGACTGAGCTTGAGATGAGAATATGGTCGTGACTTCAACTTTGTGTATACATAAAATATAAGATATATAAGTAAGCAGTAGATACGGAATTCCCAACACATACTGCAACACCCATTAGGATTAGACATTGCTTCATTCCAAACCATAAAGTTCATAAATTTTTCCTTATCTGCTGCGAGGGTCCTAAGGACAGAGGGATGTCGTATGCTGTAAAGCCCTGTGAGTCAAACTGCAATTTGTGATATTGGGCTTTATAAATAAAATTGATTGATTGATTGATTGATAAATATACATAGATGTTGACTTTTAGGGGGGAGACTTAAAATAACAGCAACAATAATATTACAGGAAAAACGTATTTAAAGTGTTATTTTTCACGCAGTACAAAGAACGCATTTGACTGCTGTCGTGCTGGGCCTTGCTAGTTGCACAGACATTATGAAAATATAATTTGGCCTGTACTTTCTCACACACCTGTGGATGATAATAAGTTTAAAACATTCATTTAAACACGCCACCGCTCTCGTTTAACCAAATGGTTACAGCAACTACATTTGTTTAGTAAGTGGGTACAACCAGGGTGCAACAACCTTCTTTGCTGCCAACATAAATATTAGCTTGCTAACTAGCTACGGTAGCTAAGTCGTAAAATGAACCTATAAACCTACGCAAATTGGTCGGGGCTTTTCAAGTTTAAGCTTTATCACAACTACTGAATACTACTTTGGTTGAATAATTACAACGTATCTTCCAAGTTTAACGACGAATAGCTTTAAACCCAAAGGCCTACAGCTAATACAGTTTAGCCGAGCGTTTGCGATGTACTCGCTGCTTGCTGAAATGGGCTAGCCTTAGCTAACGTTAGCTAACGTTAGCCAACTAGCTACCAACACCTCTAAATTCACGTTATGCGTTTTGGAATGTTACTACAAACTGCCCCTTCCTCGATAAGCAAACATCTATCCGTGCACTGATAGTTTAAATACCGTTTAATGGGTGCCTTGGCGTTAATACCGCGCTGTCGTATCACTTCATCCAAAGAGATGTCTGCCATTTTCTCACAATGCCCCACAGCGCATGCGTGCAGGAGAAGTTTTCACCTAGCGCTACGGAAGACGGTCAGGGCCAAAATGCAAATTTTATGTGGGGAACCGACGACATGTTTCGGTGTTTGAAAATTAATGTTTGTTAATCTTGCGCTTTGGAATGAAATAGAAATGTCAATGTAATCTTTAAACACACAGTCTACACATCGGGTAGCCACGGTCTCATTAGAAATTAATACTCTGCGATCGATTACTCTTGACCAAAATGCTTACACTGTACGTGCGTCGGTACCCATGAGCCTTTGCGCGAAATAATCACAAAAAGTGTCCAAATAAATGTAGTTAACGAGATTTTAAACGCTATTTGAGGTTTGATTTTCAAAATCCATTATCACATACATGTGTAGCTAGTTGTAGAGAGTAAAATAAAGTGCTACCAGCGAGCACATTTGGCACCCTAACAGAGTACATCTGGGCACAGCCTCTATACCGGTCTTCGACAATCTACTCGTTATGCCTTAAACTGATGAGTAAGGAAAATAACGATGCGGGGTGACGCCCGTATCCTCGATCAAATTTCGAGATGAATTTTTGAAAGGGCACAGGTCTGTCTACTGAGGTGACTCGCCTACTTTGCGAGATGCCTCGTGGATCTAGGACCTTCCCCGACCCCCAAAAGTGTTAACAACAAACAAAATACAAACTTAAAAACAGAGCTGTGTGAATACTATCCATAATATTGAGACAGGACGAATCCAACAGTATGTTCAGTTAATTGTTAACAGTATGTTCAGTTAATAGAAGAAAAAAGTCTTTGCTACAAGTATTATAATGAAATAAAATACAGTGAAAACACAAATTTCGTCCTTAAAAATAACACACAGTTGAGCTGCTGTGATACCCTCTGATCATGGATGGATTACTGAACAGGCCCACCATCCACAGGCTCACTGAAGTGTCACTCAAATTAACACAGTGTCCAAAATTACCACAAAGTGACGCAAAGGAACTGCAAAGAGACACAAAATAACCAAAAACTGGGGCAAAACAACCACAAAGAGACATAAAATGACTACAAAGCAACACAAAACAACCAAAAAAGACACAAAAATACCACAGAGACGCAAAAGGACTACGAAAGACTACGAAGTGACTACTGCCACTTCAAAGCAGGAATATCACACAGTGACGCCGCCTCGACGCCAGAGTTGTCTCACTTTTAAGTCGGCATCGGTAATAGTGACAGCACAGAAACAATCAGTGCTTCTCAAAGCCAAGGATGCTTCCTTGGTAGGATGGGTCCCTCCAAGTCGGTCCCCACAGAGGATCGGCAGGACTCCCTACTAGCATTCAGTTAACACACATTGGAACAGGCTAACAAGTGTCTCCAGGTGTGCGTCATTGAAGAGGCCCCACCTACAGTTCAGGCAAACGTGGGAAAAGAATTGTGGGCACTTCATGCCTGCCTGCATGCATCCATGAAAATTCTCTGAAGGAAAGACTCGGTCCTTGGTAGCATTCGAAAGATCCTTGACATTGGAACAGTCCTTCGGCGGGATTCAATGATGTAGCCTCCTTGAGATTCAGCAGTTTAAGGATTCTCACTTTGACTTTGAGAAACTACACGTCTGTATTAACAGGACACTCGGGAAGACAGGGTGGCACAGGTGTTATGTTTTCATGAAGTGTTATGCGTGCAGTCCTCCATGGGAGATTTAAAAGAAGCTGTTAGCAGTTAGCAGCTAACTGAAAGAGGAAGAACAGCAGCCAAAAATGTCCGTAAATTTGGAAAACAAAAGGTCCAGGAGCTCCTTACCCTCCAAGTAGTAAACGAGATCAGACCCTGTATAACAAAGACAGTAAATTATTGTTACTGCCATGTTAATGCCCATGTTACTGCTCAAAAAGTGCCGCAGACACGTATATGTTACACTAAAGGCCAACGCTGTTGTGTTACATGTCATGCCTGTCGTGCCTCTTTTGATTCCGTGATGCCGGCATGCTATCTAAAGTCATACACTAGAGCAGAATGATGCAATCATTGTTTGGTCCTGTGTAAAAATGCAAAGGCAGCATGAAGAAGGGACTTTGTAACAGCCCTATAGCGCAATTGGGTCTTTTGCTCATCTGTACCCAGGAGCCCATTGCCTCACTATCCGCCCATGCCTCTGATGCAGGGTACACATCAGTTTAAATATATGTCATTTACAGGAGTGTAATGTTGCATCATAGGGCTAAAAGTGCCAGTTGGGAAATGGAAAAACACTTTGTGAGATCACATGGTCGAGGACAGAGGCATTACTTGAATTTATTTAATTTAATATGTAACATTTGTGTAAATAAATGTAATGTGAATTTTCTGAAAACAATCTAATAAGCCAAGATAAACACATAACTTCTTTTTAATACTAATTTTGTGGTGTTAGGTGTAAGAATCCAGCCATAAAACACTGGTTGTAGTAAAAACTCCAACTCCCAGGATGCAGTTGGACAGGCGCAGATCCAACCTGCTGGGTCTGTGCCCTCGAGCTCTTCATCACCGCTTCCTCACGTCGCTGTCTCTCGGATCCGTTAGAAGAGAAATGGCTGCAGCTCTGTCCCGTGCCCTCAAATTACCCGGTAAGATGCGCCACACACATTTCAACCAGACATTTAAAGAGACGACACAGACTTACATCAGATGATAATTCACAGAAGAAGCCATTATCAGTCAGGTTCAACCGTTGGTGGTCTCTGAGGAATCTGTATCGGTACATGCAGTTGATTCATTTAATGCGCCGCTTCGTCACACACACACACACACACACACACTTATTATGTGTCCCATATCGGCTCAGGTTTAATGGACATGTTGCCCACATGATGTAATTAAACATGGAGGAGGCTTTCTGTGTGTGTGGAGCAGCATGTTGACATCTCTCCATCAAAGGCTGTAAGCTAGCTGCTAGCTAACGGTAACCCAACATAAACTGACCGGCCCCTGGAGGGTAAACAAGACAAGTATCAACATAAATATCACATGTGACGCCAGGAAAAATATTTTACTGTATATAAACTGTTATTATGTAATTACTAGTGATGTGCATTATTACTTGTGTTATTGTAATAATACGTGTTGTAGTATGTATTCTTTTCTTTAGCTATTTTTTAGTCTTAGTGTACAACTATGAGGCTACAGTATTTATTTATAATTGTTTCAATCACAAGATAACATTTATTAAATCATTATAATACTTAATATTACAATTAGTAGTTGTATTTATTTTTTATTTCGATTTTTTGCTTTATTTATTTATTTATGTCTCCAATTATGAGCAGGCAACAATATTTATTTACTTATAACTAAACCACGATTTTATTACTAAATACTTAATACTTATAAGTATTTGCAGTATTTAGTTTTTAATATTTTCTTTTGCTTTATTTATAGTCTTAGGTCTCCAAATATAAGCAGGCTACAATATTTATTTATTTATTTATAATTTGTTTTAAACAATAAGATACAACATTAATACTATTAGTAGTTGTAGTATTTAGTTTTTAATATTTTCTTTTGCTTTACTAACAGTCTTAGGTTTCCAATTATGAGCAGGCTACAATATTTATTTATTTAGGTCTCCAAATATGAGCAGGTTACAATGTTTATTTATTTATTTTATTATATATTTTTTTTAAACCTTGAGATAAAACATTATTTCGATTGGTGGTTGTAGTATTTGGTTTTTAATAATTTATTTTGCTTTATGAGCAGTCTTAGGTCTCCTGTTATGAGCAGGCTACAATATTTATTTATTTATATATTCTTTTAAACCTTAAGATAAAACATTATTACTGTTTAGTTTTTAATATTTTCTTTTGCTTATTTATAGTCTTAGGTCTCCAATTATGAGCAGGCTACAATATTTATTTATTTAGGTCTCCAAATATGAGCAGGTTACAATGTTTATTTATTTATTTTATTATATTTTTTTTTAAACCTTGAGATAAAACATTATTTCGATTGGTGGTTGTAGTATTTGGTTTTTAATAATTTATTTTGCTTTATGAGCAGTCTTAGGTCTCCTGTTATGAGCAGGCTACAATATTTATTTATTTATTTATTTAGGCCCCAAATATGAGCAGGCTGCAATATTTATTTATTTATATATTCTTTTAAACCTTAAGATAAAACATTATTACTGTTTAGTTTTTAATATTTTCTTTTGCTTATTTATAGTCTTAGGTCTCCAATTATGAGCTGGCTACAATGTTTATTTATTTATTTATTTATTTATTAATTATTTTGAAAACAGTAACATAAAACATCCTTAGTAGTTGTATAATTTTTAAAAATCTTTTCTTTTGCTTTATTTATAGAATTAGGTCTCCAAATATGAGCAGGCTACAATATTTATTTATTTATTTGTTTATTTATTTATATTTTTAAACCTTAAGATAAAACCTTTTATTACAATTAGTAGTTGTTGTAGTATTTGTTTTTTTTAATATNTATATTCTTTTAAACCTTAAGATAAAACATTATTACTGTTTAGTTTTTAATATTTTCTTTTGCTTATTTATAGTCTTAGGTCTCCAATTATGAGCTGGCTACAATGTTTATTTATTTATTTATTTATTTATTAATTATTTTGAAAACAGTAACATAAAACATCCTTAGTAGTTGTATAATTTTTAAAAATCTTTTCTTTTGCTTTATTTATAGAATTAGGTCTCCAAATATGAGCAGGCTACAATATTTATTTATTTATTTGTTTATTTATTTATATTTTTAAACCTTAAGATAAAACCTTTTATTACAATTAGTAGTTGTTGTAGTATTTGTTTTTTTTAATATTTTCTTTTGCTTTGTTTATAGTCTTAGATCTCCAAATATGAGCAGGCTGCAATACATATATATTTCAACATTTTAAAACCTCAAGATAACCTTCATGTAATTATTATAATACTAATTATTACAATAAGTAGTTATTGTGGTAGTGGTGGTGGTATTAAGATGTTACAGATGAAATAATAGAAACAGTAATTTTATTCTTATTCTTA